AGCAGTGTAGGAGAGTCCCAATCTCTCCACATCCTCGCCAGCATTTGTTATTTTCTGTCTTGTTGAACTTTGCTACTAGTGCTGGAGCAAGATGGTATCTCGTTTAGATTTGCATCTCTCTAATTGCTAATGATGGTGAGCATTTCTTCATATGTTTGTTAGCCGCCTGAATATCCTCCTTGGCACATGAGTGTTTCTTGGTGGTCCCAAAGGTATCTGAAATCCAGTTTTTCTAAAATCTAACCCCTGACTTTTCTCTCCCCAATCCTGTTTGTCCTATTCCAGTCTTGCTCTCTCTCACTGAATGTTACCATCATTCATCCAGATTTGCAAAGTACAAGAAGCCTAAGATTCATTCTTGATACTTCTTTATCAATCCATGGCCCAGTCTACAGATTCTGTCTCTAAAATAATTTAGTATCTGTTTACTTCTGTCTCTATTACGCAATCCCCCCCATTACCTTGTAACAAGCATTCATCATTACATTCTTACAATAAGCTCTAACTGGTCTTCTGACATCCTGTTCCTCCATCCTCCCCACATAACAGTCGGATATATTTTTTTTAAATATACCTAGATTAATGTGTCTTCTCCAGGCAATTTTAAATTCTTTGGTGTTTCACACTGCTTGCAAGGAAAAAAAATTCTTAATGTGCTCTATGAGGCCCTCCGTGGTCTAGGCCCTACCTACCTCTCTACTCTCATCTCATTTCATCCTCCTCTTTCTTTATACCTTTAGAACTTTTGTGCATGCTTGGCCATGAGGCTAATTCTTAACTCAGCTTGCAGTTTCAGCTCAGGTGTCTCTTGCTCTCTCATGTCTCCCTTTTGCATTGCAGAGTTGCTCTTTGGGTAATACATGTTACATTCACAATTTAACGTTTGTGGATTGCTGGTGGTGCAATAGGAGCTCTGTTGGTGTAGTGCCTAAGGCATTTGACTGCTAAGCAGAAAGCTGGCGGTTCAAACATACCAGCCACTCCTCAGAAAGAAGATTGGGCAACCTATTTCCATAGAGATACTACCTCAGAAACCCAAGGAGGGGTCACTATGAGTTGAATCGACTCAATGGCAGTGAGTTTTTTTTTTCTGTTGATGCAGTAGTTAAGTGTTCAGCTGCTAACTGAAAGGTTGGCAGTTAAGCACTTGGCTGCTAACCAAAGGGTCAGCAGTTTGAACTCATCAGTGGCTCCAAAGAGAAAAGACCTGGTAATCCACTTCCATTAAGATTACAGCCTAGGAAACCTGATGGGGCAGTTCTACTGTGTTGTACAGGGTCAAAGTCAGAATTGACTCAGTAACAACTATGATTATTTGATTAATTTGTATCTTTTCCAATAGACTAATCTTCATGAGATAGGAACAGTATTTTTGTTCACTGCTGTATCCCCAGAGCCTGTCTAGCACAGTTAGTCTTCAGTCATAATCAGAAAACTGCAAGGGCAGAATTCTGTGCCTAACCATATTAACAAATCTAAGAAATAAAATCATTCAGTGTTGGTGAGAGTATGGAAAAACTGATACTAAACAAACTTCTGGCATTTATTTTAATTCTTCAAAAACACTGGATGCTGTGTTTTTTAAAATTAGAGCCTTACTCTACTGTCTTTTTTTTGTAACATGACTATCGACATTTTTCTCTCTTTAGTATGGACCTGTATTTAGTTTTACCATGGTGGGCAAGACGTTTACTTACCTTCTGGGGAGTGATGCTGCTGCACTGCTTTTTAATAGTAAAAATGAAGATCTGAATGCTGAGGATGTCTACGGTCGCCTGACAACACCTGTGTTTGGAAAGGGAGTTGCATATGATGTACCCAATCCAGTAGGTGACACTCTGTTGAAGAAAGACAGATCTGTACTGTAACAGTTATATCTAGTAGTATAAATATTATACATTTAGAATGTAGAAACAATATATTGCTTGGTTTAAAAATCTAAAGAGTCATGAGAAATTTCAAAGGAAAGTCATGGCTGTCAAGGAATAGGTGTTTGTTTATAGTGGCTGGCTTGGAGGGCTAAACAGTTGTAAAAGGCTTTATATACAAATAAATAGAATGAATGGTAACTTAGCATAATAGAATTTGAGTTGAGTGGATAATTAGGAAATCTTGTTCTACCAAAAGGGCTTCTTATCCACCTACTTCTGCCTGAAATTCTAGCACAAGAGTTATTTGAAGTTAGAGATTGTAGGCTTTAGATGTTTTAAAATGCAGCTCCTTCAGGCATGGGTATGTTTCTGTCTTCTTTTTTTCTTCCCCCTGAAGTCAAATACTAGTGTGATCTAGATAGAATACATTAGATAATTGACCCAACTGTTTGGTGTGTGCTCTGGATATACATTTATTCACATAACCCTATGCACTAGTGTCACATTTAAAATCTAACATTGAGTGATTGATTATTCTGGGGATAGAGAGGAGATGGGGAAGGGGCTTTCTTTAAGGTTAAAATAAGAACTCTGAAAAATCTCCCTACTCAAATATCTATTTATTTATTTACATAAATTATCAGGAGTATAAATATAATATTGAAGCATAATGTACCTTTGGGTGAATGAGGTGGCATCTTGGTTGGGTTGGAAGACAATATAACCAGAATAACAAAAGAGGGTCCTGGAGTCAGGAGTGGGAAAAGGGAGTATAGAAAGGAAGGCAGCAACGGGGAATCCTAGTTTGTTTAGGACCCTGGCAGCAGGTGCCTTCTACATACTACTTCAAATATGTATATACATGCTGTAAGCTTTTCATATCCAGTGTACTTTTTCAAAAGCTTTTTTTAAGTTTTATAATTACTCAGTAAATTGTTTTCTTTGAGAGTTACATAGTTATGATAATTCAGATGGATCTTGTGATAAGGCAAAAATGTAATAATGTACATTCTTAATTTTTTGAAGGTTTTCTTGGAGCAGAAGAAAATATTAAAAACTGGCCTCAACATAACCCATTTTAGACAGCATGTTTCTATAATTGAAAAAGAAACAAAGGAATATTTTGAAAGTTGGGGAGAAAGTGGAGAAAGAAGTAAGTAGAGGAAAAAGATATTTTGCATTTGTCCTAATATTTATGCTTTTCTGTGAATAGAAATGTCAGTGTGTCTGTGCATAAACTATGGCATACATAAAACCACCTTGGATATAGTGAAGGAGCATGTTTTGATTACCATGGAGTTAAAAACCTGAGAGCTGGTAACTACTTCTGCTCACTTAGCAAAGCCCTGAGATAGCTTAATGTGCGTATTCAGCTCACCTGTACGATATGAAAGCAATTTATGATTAAATTGTGAAATAAGCTGAAGGTAAAAACTGGTGCCAGGTCATTTTAAGATAATAAGGTTTTTTTTTTTTTTAAAGCCCATTGAGCAAGTAAAATTCCCCACAGTTTAATTATATGTAATACCTTAATTATCTAGTATTGTATGAGAATGATTTATTCCATGAGAAAAAGTGATTTTAACTACTTTCTAATGGAAATCTTTGAAAATATATTACATGCTTTTTTGTGTTATATAGAGAGTATATTGAATGTAACTTGATACTCAGTTTAAAAGTAAATGTGGAATTAGTGTGAGTCCAGTGTTTATACTGGATTGCAGTAAGTGTTGCCTTCAGAGGAAATTGCCATGCCCACAGTAGGAAGCAATGTCTGCCCACAGGGCAGCAGGACCTCTGTGTAGGTCACCACATTCTGAGTGTGATCTTCAGCTTTTATAAAAGGTCCAGAAGCTCAGTTTTAACCTTGTTGTTGTTGTTGTTATGTGCCGTCGAGTCGGCCCCGACTCATAGCGACCCCTTCTTGGGTTTCCGAGGCAGTATCACTACGGAAGTAGGATTGCCCAACCTTCCCTCCGAGGAGTGGCTGGTGGGTTTTAACCTTAGTATAACTAAAGTTGATATGATTCACTTCTCACCATATAAGAAGCTGATATGTAAACTAGAATGGCAGTTTAATAAATATAAGTGAGATGTATTTGTACATCAAGAAAATAAGAATATTTGCTGATCTTCCCTTTATTGGCAAATCTAATAGGAAAACCAGATGATAATTGGAAGTTTATTTGATGAGCATGGAATTAAAGAAAAGAGGAATGGATGATTGTTGCGACTTCTAAGTATTATCAGAGGGTGCTTATCTAATGAATCTGTCTCCACTGGTGGGAAATACCAGTTGGTGATTAGTTACAGTTTTCTTACATATGGTCGGGACTTCAATTTTTAGTCCTGATCTTCCTGTTTTGACCTGGGAGATCATCCTGTCTTTACTTTTCAGACCTCCATTCCTTGGGAACGCAACAAACACAACACACTGCCATCGAGTCGGCCCTGACTCATAGCGAACGCTCCTTGGATTTCTGAGGCAGTATCTCTGTGGAAGTAGATCGCCCAACCTTCCTTCTGAGGAGTGTCTGGCGGGATTGAACTGCCAGCCTCTGGTTAGCAGTCAAGTGCCTTAGGCATACGCCAAGCATCTCATTATTAACTCTCATATGCACTAAATAGCCTTAGACTTTTAACTTTTTGAATCCCCTGTTTCATTATATCTTTGTCTCTGGACTAGACTATTGGTGGTTGCAGTTAATTATAACTGCATATATAAGCCAGCCCACTTGCCATTCTTCCTTTTTGCTACTTTTGATATACTGTGGCCTAGCAGTCAGATAGCCACATTCATTTTTGTCGTTTCAAGATGAAGAGTGGCTCCTTAGACCATGGCCTTCTATTTAGCTGTCCAGAGAGGTTGAAGTGCTTCCCATCATTTGGTTTATTGCCTCTCTTTCTTCAGAGCTACATATGTGTCTGTAGAGGGCTTTTTTTTTTTTTTTTTTTTTAATATGAATAGGATATTATTGGTTCAGGTTAGATTTTAGTCTTGATGGTCTTTCATAATGCTTTTATATTTCCAAGGAAACAGAATATCCTAAAAAGAATTTTTTTAAACAATAATGGGAATGTTTTTTTCCCCTTAGATTTGTTTGAAGCTCTTTCTGAGCTGATAATTTTAACAGCTAGCCATTGTTTACATGGAAAGGAAATCAGAAGTCAACTCAATGAGAAGGTGGCACAGCTGTATGCAGATTTGGATGGAGGTTTTAGCCACGCAGCCTGGCTGTTGCCCGGTTGGCTGCCTTTGCCAAGCTTCAGGTATGGAACTTATGAAGAAATCAAGATACTATGCTTGGTTATTTAACTTTGTTTAATTACTATAGTGTTGATGTGCTTTAGTTTTTAACATATTTAAAAATTAAATTAATAAACAAATTGACAGTGATTATGAACTCTCATCTTAGAAAAATTCATTACAGGTTTTCTTTATATAGTTAGCTCATTTAAGCAAAGTTTCAGTTTAATAAGAAGATGATTTGCTGTCCACCTACTGTAATATTTTAAAATCTACTTATCTCACATATCCTTTGTACTTAGTAAAGCTTCTGCCTTTACCGAAAATGATACATCCCTCCCTTAAGCCACTTGCTTGAAACAGTTGTTAACTGTTTTGAGCTACATTGAGAAATTCCTTTGTCTTGAAGTATTAGCACCTGTATTTAATTTTCTATTTGTGTCTTTGCTAATTCTACTGGGATTTCCTTAAGGGCTGGAATAGTCTCTGATACAAAGAAGTATTGCTCATAGGAGTTGACGTGTACCTTCCAAACCAAACCTACTGCCATCTTTGGAGACCCTTCAGGGCAGAGTAGAACTGCCTTCTAGGGTTTCAAAGGATGTAAATCTTTTGGGAAGCAGACTGCCTCATCTTTCTCCCATGAGATGGCTGGCAAGTCTGAATCGACTTTTGGTTAATAGCCAAATTTAACCACTGTGACACCTGACACTTTCATATTAGTAGGCTTTCTGTACCTTTGTTGATTCATTTCTGTATGGATGAGCGATAGAAGTTAAATTGGTACTCCAATTTTCTTCTATTTTTGCCACCTCTAGTTACAGAATAAAAGAAGGGTAGAAGTAAAAGGAGGAGCTAGGAGAGGGTTCCATGGAATTTTTTGGAATTTATAATATCTTGGTAAGATTTGCAGTTTCTAAGGTGCTTTTATAAATAATTATGTTAGAATACCCAGCACAGTACTTGGGCCATAGTGAGTTCTCCATAAATGTACTTTAAACCTATTTCTCCCTGCACTATCTTCTGAATGAAGTTCTAATTCCTTAGCTTGTATGGTAGGCTTTTCATACTCTAGCCTGGTTGTTCTCTGTTTTACCTGAGGCAACCAATCTAACCAAATTGTTCCATTCACTTTTTAAATAACACCAAACCCATTGCCATTGAGTTCATTCTGATTCCTATAGGAAAGAATTGCCCTGTAGGATTTCTAAGACTGTAAATCTCTATGGCAGAAGACTGCCACATCTTTATCCCATGGAGTGGCTGGTGGGTTCTAACTTCTGATTTTTCTGTTAGCAGCTGAGTGCTTTAACCATTGTGTCACCAGGGTGCCTTATTTTTTAAAATAAGCCTCGTGTTTTCTTGGTTCCGCTATGTTCGCATTGTTAAGCTTCACTGTGTTCTTCCATTCTGTGCATATTAATTGATCATCAATAATAGTCTCGAAAATGAAGTAGGGCAAGAATTTTTATTAAGAGGCATAAGAGTGGGGCTTGGGAGTCAGGCTGCCTGGAATTTAAATTCCAGCTTCTCTCCTCCCTGACTATTGGGGATAATCAACAGTATTTACCTCCCAGAAGATTAAAGTGAGTAATTAATGTGATACACTTAACATAGTTTTATAACTTGAAGCTTGTTTTCTGACTACTCCTACAAAGCTGTTATCTTAGAAAATGCAAAGTAGAATCAAACCCTCTAGAGAAACCAGAGATACTCTCCTGATGGAGAGTTGATTTGATTAAAATTAGAATCTCATGTTAGTTTCAAAGAATGTTCTGCTTTCTCTTGAAGTGGAAAATGCTTCTGAAGAAATAACCGTTTGAATCTTATTTGCGTTAAGCATTTAGTTAGAACACAGTGTATTAAGCATTGGATATATATATATTAAGACATATTTCATACCTGGAAGGAACATAGAAATTGTTAATATCAGATACGATTTTCATGACTTTTTTTATCTCTTGGTTCTGAGTTTTTGTCAGTACTTGAATCATTAAAGTTAATTTAATAAGGTTTAAATAGATCTTGATTATTTTTAAAATTAATTGGATGCTGCAAACTTGCTTATTTAAAGAAAATAATTTTCATCTTTCAATTACAGACGTAGGGACAGAGCTCATCGAGAGATCAAGAATATTTTCTATAAGGCAATCCAGAAACGCAGACAGTCACAGGAAAAACTTGATGACATTCTCCAAACTTTACTAGATTCAACATATAAGTAAGAGCCATTCAAATAAAATATTAAGCTGCAACAGGAAATCACATGTTAAAACTCAGTTAAACATGTTGGTTGCTGTGACCCTTAGACTTTTTCTTTCTTTTATTTATTTATATTTGGACTTTTTAAATAGAAGAGACATAAATTGCTGGAATCTCATTCCTTATTTGAATCCTAGTGACTAGATGTGGTACAAAGTTTGCTGGCGGTGAAGTCTTCTGTGTTCAAAATTATTATTTTCTATTTGTTTATCTCTTTTCCTTGAAAAAATAATTCTGACTTGTGATAGGTAAATGGAAGAGACTATTATTTCTGAAAAATTCACTCATTCTGACCCTTTATTGAAATACTAGGCATGAAAAGTGACTGCCAAAATGTTAAATGTGTATGTGTTGTTTATCTCGTAGGGATGGACGTCCTTTGACAGATGATGAAGTAGCTGGGATGCTTATTGGACTGCTCTTGGCAGGACAGCATACATCCTCAACTACTAGTGCATGGATGGGCTTCTTTTTGGCCAGAGACAAAACACTTCAAGAAAATTGTTATTTAGAACAGAAAACAGTCTGTGGAGAGGATCTGCCTCCTTTAACTTATGACCAGGTTTGTTCGATTTTCAGTCTCCTTGTTGCCTTTTTACTTTGGTGGCTATTTCTTAAGTAGGGCGGTTAGAGGTTTTCTATGTATTATAGTAGCATAGTGCCTAAGGCACTTGACTGCTAACCAGAAGGCTGGCGGTTCAAACCCCAAGCTACTCCTCAGAAGGAAGGTTAGGCAATCTACTTCTGTAGTGATACCGCCTCGGAAACCCAAGGAGGGGTTGCTATGAGTCGGGTCCAACTCGACGGTACATAACAACAACAACATAGATTAAATTGCTTAACTTTCATACTTTTAGAGAATTCCTCACAACCCTCTCTGAGGTGTCCCAATTGTTTTGTCCATTAAACTTTATCAGATGTGTTTGGGTTTGGGGCTTTAGAGATCTTTGAGGTTTCTTACTTCTTCCACTTGAAAGTCTGGCTCCTGAGAATAGAGGGTACTGTATGGCATTGTGTGTCTTTTGAAGTATAGAAAGTTCTGAATTACTCAAATCCTACATGCCCAGAATGGCCTGTGTATTATTTCCACCATCATCACCACCCACTGCCATCAGAGTCAATTCTGAGCTCTGGTGGCGTAGCGCCTAAGGCATTTGACTGCTAACCAGAAGGCTGGCGGTTCAAACCCACCAGCTACTCCTTGGAAGGTAGGTTGGGCAATCTACTTCCGTAGTGGTATCGCCTTGGAAACCCAGGAAGGGGTTGCTATGAGTTGGATCTGACTTGACGGCAGTGCGTTAGTGCATAGTCACCCTTTAGGACAGAGTAGAACTAACTGCCCCATAGGGTTTCCAAAGCTGTAGATTTTTATGGAAGCAGACTGCCTCATCTTTCTCCTTCAGAGCAGCTAGTGGGTTCAAACCACCAGCCGAATGCCTTAACCACTGTACCATCAGGGTACCGTTTCTGGTGAGCTGAAAGGAAGAGAGAACAACTCACTATGTAACCTAGACTTCTATCTTTGAAGCACACACTGGTCATACCCTCTTCCATACCCTCTTCCTGGTTTTTTTTTTTTTTTTCTTTTATTACCACGGTGTATTATGTTGATTGATTTTTCAAAAAAATGTTAAGTCTTACATTCCTGGGGTAAATTCTATTGACCATAGTTTGTAATCTTTTTTTTATATATATATCTGCACTCAGTTTGGGAGCTCTGGTGGCGTAGTGCCTAAGGCACTTGACTGCTAACCAAGAAGGCTGGTGGTTCAAACCTACCAGCTACTTCTTGGAAGGAAGGTTGGGCAATCTACTTCCGTAGAGATAGCACCTCGGAAACCCAAGGAGGGTTCGCGATGAGTCGGGACCGACTCGACGGCAGTGAGTTTGGTTTTTTCTTTTTGGACTCAGTTTACTAATATTTTGTTGAGAATTTTTGCACTGATATTCATAAGGTGTATGGGTTGTAGATTTATTGTGATATCCTTTGTCTGGTTTTGGTAACAGGATAATACTGACTTCATAGAATGAGTAGGCAGCATTGGATAATGTTTTTTAATCTATTCTGACAGTTGTTGCTTTTTGCTTAGAGTGTTTAATCCATTTATATTGGACATAATTACTGATAAGGTAGAATTCACACCTGCTAGTTTTCTATATGCTTGATCTTTGTGACCTTTGGACTTTTTCTTTCTTTTATTTATTTATATTTGGACTTTTTTAATAGAAGAGACATAAATTGCTGGAATCCCATTCCTTATTTGAATCCTAGTGACTAGATGTGGTACTCCTCAGAAGGAAGGTTGGGCAATCTACTTCTGTAGTGATACCACCTCGGAAACCCAAGGAGGGGTCGCTATGAGTTGGGTCTGACTTGACGGCACATACCAACAACAACATACGCTTTATGCCTTGTTTGTTCCTCTGTTCCCATTCCTGTTTTGTGTTAAATAGATATTTTCTAGTGTAACATTTTAATTCCTTTGTCATTTTTTTTGCTATATATTTTTAGTTATTTTCTTATTGGTTGCCCTGGGGATTAAATTCAGCATCTTATCTTAAAATAATCTAGTGTAAAATAATACCAGTTTACTTGTATACAAAAATTTGCTCCAGTAAAGCTCTAATCCTGCTTCTGTTCTTCATGCTATTATTGTTATACAGATTACATCTTTATGCATTATAAATCTATCAGTACAATTTCATAATTGTTGCTTTATGTAGTCGACTTAAATGAGATGTAACAATTACAAACAAAAAAGCATTTACTCTTATATTTAACATGTGTACTGTATTTTTTCGCAAGTAACGTGTGTGTATTATATGATTTTTGCAAATCATTTAGCCCCTTGTGCATTAGTTTCCTTGAGAGCTATGCGTGTTATTAATGTGGGTACATTATATAGGGAAAATAAGGGAATTATGTTGTTACCTTTACTAGTTCTTTATTTCTTTCTATGTATTCAGATTGCCAGTGTCCTTTCATTTCTTCATGAAGGCTTCCCTTTAGCATTTCTTGTAGGACAGGTCTGCTACTGATGACTTCCCTCCATTTCTCTTAATCTGGGATTGTTTTAACTTGTTCATTTTTGAAGCATAATTCTGCTAATTATAGAACTCTTGGTTGACAGCCTTTTACTTTGACACTTTGAACATGTGCTCCCTTCTGGTCTTCATTATTTCTGATGAGAAAAGAGTTGTTAATTTTATTAAGGCCTCCCTTCTCTCTTGCTGCTTTCAGAATTCTTTGTCTTTGACTTTTGACAGTTTGGTTATGATGTATCTAGGTGAGGATCTCTTTGAATTAATCCTAGTTGGAGTTTTTTGAGTTTCTTTCATGTACAGATTGTTTTTCTTCAAAATATGATTTCTGTCCCTTCCCCTTCTGTGATTTGAGTATGTTGGTATGCTTGATTGTGTCCCATAGGTCTCTTACACTCTGTTAATTTCTCTATATTCTTTTATCTTTCTATTCCTCAGACTGAATAATTTAACTGACCTATCTTCATTCTTTTTTCTGCCAGTTCAAATCTGCTTTTGAGCTCATCTGGTGAATTATTTAATTACATTACATTATAAAAGGCAGTCTGCTCTACGCAAGGCAAACTGATTAATTACATGTGTCTTAGTTCTCTAGTGCTGCTATAACAGAAATGCCACAAGTGGATGGCTTTAACAAACAGAAATTTATTCCCTCACAGTTTTTAGGAGGCTAGAAGTCTGAATTCAGAGGACTGGGTGAAGGGGAAGACTTTTTCACTCTGCCAGCCCAGGAAGAAGGTCCTTGTCTCCTTTCAACCTCTGTGGACCCAGCATTCCTTGGAGATCTACATGTATTTTGGCATCAATCTTCCTGTGGGTCTAGGAGGTTCTTAGCACAGGGACCAGGTTCAAAGGAGATTCTCCGCTCTTGGCTCTTCTTTTTGATGGTAGTCAGGTCTCTTATTCCCTGCTTGCTTCTCTCTCCTCTCATTTCTTGTAAGACAAAAGGTGATATAGGCCATGGCCCAGGGATGTTTCTCTTAGATTAGGGCTGTGGCCTGTGGGAAGATTATGAGAGACTTTAAATAAGGGTGATGCATCCCACCCTAATTCTCTCTCTTTAACATAACAAACATAACCTAATCCTCTTTAAAATAACTAAATCTGCCTAATTAACCACAGGTAGGGTTTAGGATTTACAGCATGTCACAAAATGGCAGATATAAACAATACTGGGAATCATGGCCTAACCAAGCTTGCACATATTTTGGGGGAACACAAATTGATCCATGACAACATATAACCACTCCCATGACAGCATCTGGATTAGTATTTTGCCAGACAGCTAGGAACCATAGCCTAGCCAAGTTGACACATAAAATTCACCATTATAGTTAGCCAGAAGTGAGAGATTAGAGTCCTCTCAGGTCTTTCCCAGACCTGTGCACATGTGTATAGCTTAGATTTCCAGGAATATATTAAAATCTCCTATGGAGCTCTGGTAGCATAGTGCCTAAGGCACTTACTGCTAGCCAGAAGGCTGGTGGTTCAAACCCACCAGCCACTCCTCGGAAGGAAGGTGGGGCAATCTACTTCCGTAGCGATACTGCCTGGGAAACCCAAGAAGGGGTCACTACGTGCTTGAACAATTTCTCTTAGAAAGATCAGCATGAGGCTGGTCCCCATGAGGCGGTGGTTAAAGATGTCCCAAATATCCAAACTACCATACCACTCCATCATTTCAGACATTAAGTCCTCCTCCTCCTCTCAGTAATTTCCCCAGTCTTAGGGTTCTGTATTTCGCTGTAACACCTCACAGAACTCACAGACACCCAAGGGTTCGTCTCACGTACTAGTGTGGAGGCTGGCAGGCTGGCGAGTCCCAGGTCCGTGAGTAGGTCTGGAGGATCCTCCCAACCCTTGGGGTTTGATGAACCTCGACCAGCAGATCAGATGATGGGTTGTGTCCCAAATCCAGGGGTGAGATGAGGATGAGCCAAGACACAAAGCTGGAGCAAGAAGAGGGCAAATCTTCCCAGGAGATTCGTAAGTATACCCTCAGGGAAGCTAAGGGTGGTGATTTGAATTATACCCTCCAGCAAGGCAGGACTCAAGATACATTCCACCTGTGTTGCCCCAACAGAATTAACCTAAATCCCATCACAGAGTTGATTGCTAGTCATTATAGGAAATGACTACTACCAGCTGCCCAGCAATGTTGATACCTGACCTTAACTATCACACCACCCCAAACAGGCATGGATAATGGGATTTACAAAACATCACAGAATGGAGGACAACTGGCTAGAAGGGCCACCACTATGAGTCAGGTCTGACTCCACAGTACATAACAACAACAACAACATCATGGAGATAACACGCCCCATTTTTTTTGAATGTCTCTGTTATCCCTAGCTGATACTGCTATCTCAGGCAGCTGTTACCTTAAATAGCTTTTACTAGTTGTTGGTGACAAACACTCTAGGGATAGTGCTGTTTGCAGTGAGAGCTCTGAGTCAGATCAAATAAAGATAAGCCCTAAGAATGGAGATTTTCAGGGAGCTGCTAGATTGGTCAAATAGTGAGTCTCTGGGTGTGGAGTTTTGAGGTGCTCCAGACTTACTCTGCCTCTTAGTTGTCGCTAGCCTGCTGTTCTGCACAGCTGGAGTAGTTGTCAGGCTGTTGGTTTGCAAGGCTATTGTGAAGCTGGAGAGAGGGAGATGAGAATAGGGCAAGTTACAGCATCACAGAGCTCACTGTTCTCACCATGATTCAGCTGTTACATTTGAGTAAACTCTTCTTCAGTTGTTGGAAGCCTTTGGTCAATTTCCAGAGTTCTGAAAAAGTTTATTGAAGACAGTTTTTTTCTGGAAAGCTCATTGTTTTTGGAGGAACAGATTGTTGAAGGTCCTACTGTACCGTTTGCAAGGTGATCTCTCTTCCTGTTATCTTGTCCTTCCCTTTTTCCCCTTGTTGACCATGAACAGTGATAGAACAAGATATTCTCTGCTGCCCTGAACTGGTTACTTCTGCACTTCCACCCAGAATGCCAGCAATCTTGTATTAACCAAAAAGTTACAAATAATTTGTGTACTTTTGAGATATGTTAAGTATTTTTAAAAATCATTAATTTTTTTTCTCTTTTTAGCTCAAGGATCTAAATTTACTAGATCGCTGTATTAAGGAAACATTAAGACTTAGACCTCCCATAATGACCATGATGAGAATGGCCAAAACTCCGCAGGTAAATCTATGGGCTAAATCTATCCTCCTTTTTTTATATATCAAAAATAGTATATATATTATAGTATCAAAGGGAAGTTTTTAAAATTAAAAAGTAAAATGGTCATCACTCTTTTATAATTTTCAATTTTATATATTCTAAATACATAAATATTTTTACATAATTGCATGCTAGTCTGTTTTCTGCATTTTCATATAACGTTTACACTTTTTCCAATGGAACTCTTTCTTTTTGGTTTTAAGAGTAGTATACATTTTGTTGTAAAAAATTCAAACAGTATGAAAGTATAAATCAGACTTCCTGAAATGCCACCTTTAGCTCCAAGGTATTACGACTATTATTTTTGATTTGTATATGTGCTTCCAACACAACATTGGGACATTTGGAAATAATCTTGAATTAAAATAATTTTTAGCTGGCCTAGTCATTGAGTTAGTTTTAAATGTATACATATCTTATACATATTACTGCTTGGTTACACAACGATGATTGTTTGTGGAATATTTTTCAATTATCTAAAGAAATGTGTTGCTTTCGTTTGTAGACTGTAGCTGGGTACACCATTCCTCCAGGTCATCAGGTGTGTGTGTCTCCCACTGTCAACCAAAGACTTAAAGACTCATGGGTAGAACGTCTGGACTTTAATCCTGGTCGGTATTTACAGGACAACCCAGCATCAGGGGAGAAGTTTGCCTATGTGCCATTTGGAGCTGGTAAGACTGTATTTCAGATCTTAAATATTTTAGATCTTGTTCCTGTGAAAGTAGTCCATGTGGATTTTATGTACAGTTTTCCTTTTCTTTATAGAGACATCCCTGCAAATGTTATAAAAGTATAATCTCCAAAAGTTGGAAAAAATATTTTATTTGAACTAAAGGTATTATCCTGTGAATCCTTATAGTACTCCTTTACCTTCTAATCTGCCCTGTTTTTTCTAAAGTTTATAGCCCCTTTCTCCTTATGTTGTTGTTGTTTGCCATTGAGTTGGACTCGACTCATAGCGACCCTTCCTTGGGTTTCTGAGGTGGTATTACTATGAAAGTAGATTAGATTGCCCAACCTTCCTTTCGAGGAGTGGCTGGTGGGTTTGAACCGCCAGCCTTCTGGTTAGCAGTCAAGTGCCTTAGGCACTATGCTACAGGAGCTCCTTTTCCCCTTATAGTAGTATTTAAAAACTCTTTGTGAATTTGTCCTAAAGAATCCTTGGAGTTAGCAAACCATTCAGAAAACAGTTACTTCAGGCTAATACATAAACAAATTACTGGCATCCTAGAAAAAAAGCAAAGGTAGCCTTTTTAAAATTGAAGCTTTTCTGGATTGTTAGTCAATTTTTTTTTTAAGGTCAATTTTTTGGTTCCCTGTGAATAACCTTATGATAGTGTTCTTTAAATTTGGGCAGATTGTGCTTAGGTTCACGAACCTCTGCATTCCCAGTAATATCCTGAAAGAATGCAGGCAGACCCTTGTTCCTCCAGTAGGATAACCATAGGTACTCTGCACCTAGATTAAACTATATTCTGTGACTTATCTAGTATTTGCCAAACAGATCATATTAGTAGCTGATGACTTTCTGGCAATGGTCACATGTTTTCCAAATACAAAGGAAAGTATAAAGTCTTTTGGGGGCTTCAGACTTTAATAACTTTGTTTAATAAATAATTTTATATATATAATGGTATATAACATAAAAGAATTAAGAATTATATAACATAAAAGAATCATAATCATTGGTAAAGGCATTAGTTCTGCTCCAAAGGAGGAATAGTTTCTAAAATGATAATGATCTGGTTTCCACTTGAACTTTTTAAGTTTTTGGTTGCCGAGTTATCTTATATGGCAGCTCATTCTAGTTTTTGGAAACCTCATTTTTATGGTATATTAAAGCTGAAATTGGTTGCCTTTTAACATCTCATTTGTACTTGTTTCTAATTGTAGTCTCTGAAGTTATATAATGTACCTCTCGAGATATTTGAATGCAGGTACCGTAAAACCTGTGAAAGCTAAAAACTGTAAGGTGGAAACCAGTTAAAGACAGAAAACTTGAATATGTTCCACTAAAATGAGTGATAGAAAAGTTGTAAGAAGACTATACTCTGTCAAAGCAGAAAACTCGAGAGACTAGGAAAAAGTCAGCAGTCCAGTTACGCTCTGGCTATTACAGAGTTCACTATATATAATGCGCCCTCATTCTTTCACCATCAGGTTAAGTATCTCCAGTTTCTTTGTAATTGTGCTATGTATCTATGTTGGTGCATGTTACATGTAGTTTATTCATGTATTACATTTCATGAATTACCAGTATTTATATGCTATTCTGGGAGCTCTAGTAGCTTAGTACCTAAGGCATTTGACTGCTAACTAGAAGACTGGCAGTTCAAACCCACCAGCTACTCCTCGGAAGGTAGGTTGGGCAAGCTACTTCCGTAGTGATAATGCCTTGGAAACCCTAGGGGTCGCTATGAGTCGGATCTGACTCAACGGCAGTGCGTTTGGTTTTGGTTTAGTTTTATATGCTATTCTGTTCATTCGTAGTAGGAATACTTTGATGCTATTAAAAATAATCCTTTAAGTAGTCTTCTTATAAGCCTCTCCTTAGTTGCTTGTATTTGAATACAGTTTATAAACATCCCTCTAAAATGTGGCTTCTGGAAGTACCAGTAGGAGCTGAGCACTTTATGCTAATTTTTTAGCCTCACGCTCACACTATGAGGAAGGTGCTATTATACTTGTTTTTCAAAAGAGGAAACTAAGGCTTATAGGGGTTAACTTTTCCCAGGTCCAGTTTGGCCTGTTATTTTGAGTTCCCTGAAAAAAGCTACCTTTTGTTATTAACTTTGTGTGGGGTTTTGGTAGGCAGGGGAGATGGGAAGGTGTCCGATCTTCCTGACTCAAATATTTCTAATAGCATCTTTTATAAAGTTTATCTCACTTTATAGCTTATCTATATGACCTCTTTAAAAATACAATTTGTATTTTATATTACTAAGTTTCCAACATTTTAACGAGAAAATTTTCACTCAGAAGAATTTTACAGTGTACATCCATATATTCATTACCTAGATTCTCCCATTAACATTTTATTGTCCTTGTTTTATCACATACTTACACATCCATCAAGTTATCCATCAATTCTTATTTTTTAGATGCATTTCAAAGTCAGTTACACACATCAGTACACTTTCTAAATATTTAAGCATGCATGTCATTAACTAAATTCAGTAATTTTTTAGTTATCTTTTGAGATAAAATTTATATACAATGAAGTGCTTATATCTTGACATTCAGTGAGTTTTGACAAATTAATATACTTAAATAACTTCAGTTGAATCTAATTTATCAATTTTTGATGGTTATTGCTTTCTGGTCCTGTCTATCCCCAAGTCATGAATATATATTCTCCTGTTCTTTATTAACATGTGATGGTATTCACATTTATGTTTTGGTCTGTGATACATCTTGAATTAATGCCTAAGGCATTTGATTGTTAACTAGAAGGCTGGAGGTTCAAACCCACCAGCCACTCCTCAGAAGGAAGGTTGAGCAATCTACTTCCATAGTGATACTGCCTTGGAAACCCAGGGAGGGGTTGCTATGAGTCTGGTCTGACTCGGTGACAGTGTGTTTGGTTTGGTTTTGGTTATGGTTGAGCTCTGGTGGCATAGTGGATAAGGCACTTGGCTGCTAACCAGAAGGTCAGTGGTTCAAACCTACCAGCCACTCTGTGGAAGAAAGATGGGGTGATCTACTTCTGTAAAGATAGATTTACAGCCTTAGAAACACAATGGGGGGTAGTTATTAGTTGGAATTGACTCGATGGCTGTGAGTTTGGCTTCTTTTTTTTTTTTTTTTTGGTATTGTATGAGGTAAGGAGGAGCTCTGGTGGCGTAGTGCTTAAGGCATATGACTGCTAACCAGAAGACTGGCGGTTCAAACCCGGCAGCCAGTCCTGGGAAGGAAGGTTGGGCAATCTACTTCTGTAGTGATACTGCCTCAGAAACCCAAGGAGGGATCACTATGAGTTGGATCCAACTCCATGACAGCGAGTTTGGTTTTGGTTCAGATGAGGTAAGAATTAAAGTTCTTGTTTTCCTCACATATTTAGTTATTCCAGCACCATGTGTTGAAAAGACTTTCTTTAGTGTCCTTGTTGATAATCAAATAACCATAAAAGTAATTCTGGGTTCATACTTCCATTGATCTATTTGTTGATCCTTATGCCCGTACCACACTGTCTAGGTGGCTGTAGTTTTATAGTAAGTCTTGAAGTCAGAAACTTGAAATAGTTGAAATACTCTAGCTTTATTATTCTCTTTCAAGGTTCTTTGGCTATCTACCCTAAGTTCTTTGCATTTCTGTATACATTTTAGAATCAGCTTGTAAATTTCTTTATATATGACACTAAAATTTTTATTTCAGCATATATGTTACTATTTTGGGTCTTTGAGATCCCTTTTTCCTTCATCAGACAGCATTGGTATTAGCATTTCAAGTTGTGATTAGAATGTGCATACTGACTTTTAGCTAGGGCCCTCTACAGGCAGGGGAAAGAATATGTCCAGTATATTCCCAAACTTGATTACTATGCTGTAATTTAAATCTTACATATATTTAACCTGAATAGATGTTAAATTAAAAAAAAAAGTGATTAGAAAAAAATAATTAGCTAAGAGCCTTTTTTGTAAAAGTAGATACTGGAAATGTCTAGGATGATTTTATATTTATGCCTTTTATGTATGTACAACATCTGCTGTTTATCCAAACTGTAGATAAACAAATTTTACCACTCTAGGCTAAAATAAATGAGAAAGAAAGTTTTAAACATTCTTATAAAAACTTTTTTTTGTTTGTTTGTTTTTAAGGGCGTCATCGTTGCATTGGGGAAAATTTTGCCTATGTTCAGATCAAGACGATTTGGTCCACTATGCTTCGTTTGTATGAGTATGATCTCATCGATGGATATTTTCCCAGTGTGAATTACACAACCATGATTCACACCCCTGAATGCCCAATTATTCGATATAAACGAAGGTCAAAATGAAGAAGGTGGAATGAACTAATGTGTGAAACCTGTCAGCTGCAAAAGCTTTTGAAGATAATGGTTTACAAGACAACTTATACTGTTCTGTTTGAGTGCGTAATTTAAAGATAGCGGTTTAAGATTCTCACATTTTGTTAACTGAATTATTCCACCAATTCTGGTGGTATTGCAAACATTTTCTAATAGTTTTATGATGAATACGTTTTACATGTCCTTTAAGGGAGTAAAGCTCATTAGTTTAAAAAAAAAAAGGGTCTAGGGAAGATTAGGTATTTGGCAGATTCTAAGTAACACAAATTAAAATTTTCAGGTACTAACTACAAGAGCATGTATAGTTCTTGGAAATTAAACACAAGGTATTCAAAAATTAGTTCTTCAAAATATAGAAGCCCAGTGAAATACGTGGAAGCCATAGCTTGTTTACTTTTTGTGTGTTGTATGGATGCATATTGGAAGGTAGGGACTAACTATTGAGTTTCAAGTCCTGGGTGAAAAAGAATGCCATTAATTGTTCTTGGATGATACGATGATACTCAACAATGATGGGAGTATGATGGAGAAAAATAAAGTCGTTTGAAATTATCACTGGAAGCACCATCTATAGGAAATTGAGAAACGAATTTGTGACCATGACTTAATAATCATATTTCCTAAAAAAAATACATGTAATTAGTAATACTAAAGAAGGACTGGTCATCTAACTTGATCTAATTACTAAATACTACATATTTATCCATCTGATGGAAATTTTATCTGGTTCCACAAGGTCAGGTCCAAAACAAAGTCCTTAGGGATAACCTTTTTCTCTTCTTTGACTCAAGGTGGTTTCCTGCTTCCTCAGAATCCAGTTAGGACTGTTTCCATTTCTAGTTCTGTTAATTAAAGCTTAATTTTGGTTAACAAGCTTTTTTTCCCCCTTTATATATAAAATTTAAGCTCAGAGAACTCTAGCATTAGGATAATGGTGATTGACATGAAGCAGGGTCCTTGGGAATAGTATTGTTGGTCACCTCCTGTGAAGTCTGTGTTCCAGAATCAGCTTAACTCAATTATAATGGGGCCTGACCACATAGCATGTTTTCACTACATGAGACCAAAATACTTTTCCCTTATGTATGGTACAGGTCTGTTTATGGTCAAAGAATCTAGAGGACTCATGTTAAACTCTTGTGAATGCAGAATCTCTGCTGTTAGACAGTATTTCATATTAAAGTTCTCTGTGGGAAAAAAATACATTCTGTATTCCCAAATATAAATTATATTCTTTAGTGGGTAGAATTCAGGGGATCCAGGAACTTAAATGGGGAAAAAAAAATACATTTTTATTTTCACTAATTTCAAATGACAATTTAGTAGTCCCTTTAATTATGACTGTAGGGAACAAACAATAATAGTACTAGCAGTACCCATGATTCTGTCAATAGAAATCATAGGTATTTTCAAACTATAGTACAAATGTCGCAGATCTCTTGAAATATCTTACTTTTATACCACTACTTTGGATTATGATTATGACACAACTATTTCTATACATTTGGTTCCTTAACAATCAATATATTTTATGTATTTGCGAACATTATTTTGAAAAGGTGTCCATAATTTCACCAGACTGTAAAGTGGTTCATGACGAAAAATGAGTTAAGAACCTGAGGTAAAGCTAGTTTTTGTTTAGTGAATAGTTTGTTTTAGACTTTAAAGGATTTCGTTTTTAATGAGAAATTACTGAGGATTATGAGTGAACAAGTTTAAGATGGCAGAGCTGAAGGAGACCTTGAGAGCCAAACGGTGGGAGTGAAAGCAGGTTAGTCAGCTCACTTGAGCACCTGCTCCTCCTTCCTTTCTCTCCTGGAGTGAAGAACCTTGAATGGCAAGCCATGCTTGCGGAGAAAGGTTTGACCCACAGTCTTCAACTAATTGCTTACAATACCTCTGCTATTCTTTATATCTCCCCGATTGGAATTCAGCTGTTAATATGAAAACAGGTAATTATTTAGACCCCAAAAATTCGTAACTTACTATCCTGGCCTGTATGTGGTAGGATAAATCACCAAACATCAAATGATGAGACAGAATCCTCAGCATGTCAGCATCAAACATTGTCCTTACTATTTCGGTGAGATGTTATGTTATTAGGAAGGACTCAAGATATAGCATTGAGATTTGTAGTACAGTATCTTTGTGAGAATCTTGAATTTGGTATGGAGAGCAGGAGCATTTGTTGACTTTGCTGCTCTGTGGTGAGTAAAATTTAAAATTCCCTATTTAAAAGGGGAGGAAAAGAAGATTTCTTTGTATTAAATAATTTCTGCATCTAAATGGACTATGTAAGTAAGGATACATCTTTGGACATGAGAAACACAACACTGATCGAGCAAATATGTACTTATCATTAAAATACTAATATAGCTTTATAAAAACTTTAAGTAGAAGATACGGAAAACTTTCTTGCCCAATGGAGGGAGGAGAAAAACTGTAATAGTACCTAATTCTAAGATTACAACAACTTTCTATCTCTGAATCCCTAAGTCCTATGTATTTGAGACAAGTGAAGAGAGGACATACACCAAGAATTTATGGCTCAATTAAAAATGAAGAAGGCTCAAATGTACAGGGGTTAAAATGGTGAAGTAATTTTTATTTCAGTACTTGACAAAATACCCCATAAAATTCAAAACTTCTACCATTATACAAAAATAGGTCTCTACAAGTGATATTTTTCTGTCTGTATCACCAGTAGCAAATATATTAGGCAGAAACATGTAACTTCAGTAGCCTTTTAAGAAAAGTGCAGGACACCTCAAGCTACACATTCAGCAGTATCATAATACGCAAGTTTAATCTTCCCACCCATTTGATAAATACACAAGGTTTGATAACTTAATCATTTAAATTAGCATTCCACAAATATACAGGTAATTAAATGAGGATTGTGCATGAGTACATACACAATGCTTATATATACAAATTCCAGTATGTTTTCATGGGCTGGCAAGGCATCTGCGTACAATCATAAGCTGTGTTCCTATTGGTCCCACTGAATATTCACGATAAAAAAGCACAAAAGAACCACTGATTTACAAAAGAGAATTTGTTTAAAATCACTTTGATTGATGATGTCAAAGGATTATCTTCTCATGCCAGCATGAAACTGAGTTGTTGAACCTGAGAGAGAAAAAAGGCTATTTTGAAATTATTTCAAGTTAAGATGGCTACTCATATCTGACCAACTAATTCACTCAAGGCAGGAAATTAATACTACTGTCCATTTAAAAAGCTTTTCTTACCTCCTTAATAAGTCTTACTCTTCCTTAAACTGATTTTTAAAAAGATACCTGAATATATATTTAAAAGTCACTGTGGCTGGCTTTTATAGTAAGGTAAGTGAGGCTATTAAGATTTTAAGTCTGTGGTGAGGTGAATGTTCTATACCTCCTCCTCCTCATATAGCTTTTGGTCTTCAAAATCTGGGTCTTGTGAAATTGAGATGCTCAAAACAAAAACACATAAACCAACCAATACAACCCAGCCATGATAATAAGTTTCCAGACTACCAGTTAATTGAATTAAACAACAGATAAACTACTAACTCTTTAACAAAAGTAAAAACAAAATACAAAAGGTGACTTAGAACACAATCACTTTAAAATGATTCAAGGTCTTTGAATCAGGACAGAATTTGAGAGAGGCAGGAGTTTTCCCACAACAGGGAACTGACCTCTACTAAGTATTAATTTTTTTGTGTGTTACAGCAAGGAGAAAAATGAAAGATCAATTTTACAAAGCCTTTTGAATGGGATGGAGTTTTTTGATCACACACAGAAGCACACGTAGAAGTGCTGATAATGGCTGTATTCCGTGCCTAAAATAATTGCTTCTCCTCATCTCCCCGCCCTTTATTAGTACACCTGTTTTCTGCCCTGTAGACTCTGCAGGCTCAGAGTTTTTTAAATACTGATGTTCATTGTAGATTTTATGTTGTCAACCTGCTGAAAGAAGAGAGTAAGGAGTCTCTTTTTTTAGGGGTTGGGGGTTGGGTGGGGAGTAGAATAGAGGGTAATAAATCATGTCTTGACTTAAAATTACTTAACTCCTGAACAAGTTTCTCTGCTTGTAACACAGCGTAAGCTAGCCTGGTAACTCAAGCATTTAACTGGAAGATTTGCAAGGAAGGTCAAGGATTTTCAAAACTGAAAGAGCTCCGGGTCTAGTGCTACAGTTAAACAGCTCACCTGACTGTACAGTTCCCAGGCGCCTTTGCAGTGCCTCTAGTCGAGTGATATAATCTGTTAGGGCTCTGTCAGGATCATAATTCTGTAGCTGAGAACATGCTAGGGAACCAGGATTTAAATCAGCTGGAAGGCCTGGGTACCTACAGGATTAAAAAAAAATATGTACGTGATGCTACATTATCCCCAAAACAATGCAAATAAATTATCAACCTGCCCCTACCCCAAACCCCAACAGGCCCGTTGTACACTGCCTAATCTATATCCCCCATGATTCTGAGTTTGGGATGTTTAAAGAAAAAAACATTAATTCAAACAAGCTACTGAGTAATCCTATGAATACCCAATATGTGCCTGCTGCAAAGGTGCACAACAGACTTTGAATGTGTCTTGTCATGAATTTTTCATAATGGCCAGATACTATCCATTTTAGTGTTTTTCCCATTGTCTAACCACAGCATATAGTATTTTGTTGACTATCTAGGTGGTCGGCTCTGTCTCCTAGACCCTCGGAAACCAGTTAACAAATTGAAAATCTAATTTTGCTTGAACCTTAGATAATGTAAATCATAAAAAAGAAACCTAGCTATCTCAGTGCAAAGACACCAAAGGCTTCACAATGTCATCTCTTCTGTTAAATAGTAATATAGTTGACTACTTGAGGCAGACTGTATCAAATTCTTACCTATTCTGAAATGGTAAAGGAGATCTGGGATAGTCCAGATCCGATCTTGCACGATATGTAGTGTGTCTTGGTTCTCCATACAGCTCCAGCCCACCGGAAGAATGATAGAATGGATCAGTCTTTTCAGCACCTAAAGTAATCCAAAATGTACCTTGTAAAGAAAAAAAAAAATACCATGCCCTTGAAGAATTTCTACCAAACAGTAAGGGCACAAAGACTCCTACTATCTTAGGTACTGTACTAGGAGGTCCTGGGTGGTGTGAACAGTTAATCCGCTGGGCGGCTAACCGAAAGGTTGGAAGTTTGAGTCCATCAGAGGCAGGTGGGAAAAAAGGCCTGGGAGAATCAGCCCCTGAAAATCTTATGGTGCACAGTTTGACTCTGACCATATAAGGTAGCCACGAGTCAGAATACAATAGCAAATTACTTTTATACACTAAACATGGTCATTTTCAGTTATCTTTCAGGAGCCCTGGTAGTATAGTGGTTAGGTTAGGCTGCTCATTGAAAAGTTGGCGGTTTGAACCCAGCAGCTGCTCCATTACATGGTAGATGATGTGGTAGTCTGCTTCCATAAAGATTAGTCTTAGAAACCTTTCTCTGTTGTTCAGCCACTGGTAGACTCTGTGCAGGCAGTTTAATACCACTTCATAGCACAGTTATGCTGTGTCTTTATAACTCTGTGCTCCTTGCCTCTGACCTCTACCTTATGCCTGAAATGTTCAAGCCCTAATGTTCATTTTTTTAAATTTCTAATTCAGGTAGGTGTGGAGACAAATAACTTTATTAAGCAACCTGTGGTAAACTCAGAAACCTATTTAAGTGCTGTTAAATCCTGAGAATTTCAAACCATGACTCCTCCTCATAATGTGTTAACTGTAATCCTATTTTGAATCAGAGTCTTAAATGCAGTTGTAAGGTGTGGGGGCTCTGGAACTAGACTACCAGGGCTGGATCCTGACACCACCACCTCTCCATGGGGTAATATGGAACAAATCACATAGGCATTCCGTGCCTCAGTTTCCCCATCTGTAAACTGGGAACAGTAACTGTACTTCCACGAGAGGATTGGGAGAACACACAATAATACATGAGAAGAACAGGACCTACCACCGAGCGAGCATTCCATAAAGATCAGTATGATTACTCTCTTTCAAACTGCAAGGTCACCAGATTTATTAGTTATAAGGGCTCCGTCTTTGGATACCATTGGTTCTAGAATGTTTGGATAGGTATTACACATGCAGATTTTAGAGAATCACATATGGAGGAAAAAGATGCTATTTTGATTCACCTGGATTCAGTCCAAAGCCATCTCTGTTAATATTGATGGAACCAGAACCTGTGACTCGATGCCATCGTCGAACCAAAAATTTCATTCTAAAAGAGATCCCAAGATAAATTTCACAAAACATCTGTAATACATAGGATACATTTCCCACAAAAATCAAGCCATACATTTATATAGGAATATTCAATTTCAGTATAACCACATGACTGCTTACCCTAAAATTATGCAAATGCCCATGGCTTGTGGAAAAATCTACTGGGAACAGGGTTCAAGTTACCCTCACTCCCCAAGTGGCACCACAGGTCTCTTGTGTTGCCAGCAAGAGGTTTGGTCTTTAGGGGGAATGAGATACAAGAGAAAGAGGAAAAGTAGAGAGGAGAAAAGCAGATGGGCTAAGAAGGGAGGGAAGTAATGGAAAGAGAAAAGAACAGAGACTAAGGGGCAGATGACGTAGAAAGAGAATGAAAAGACTCTTGCACTGATCGAGCGAGTGAATGCTGGGGAAGCTGGATAAGGGGTGAGCAGGGGTGAACAACGCTGGCTTCAAATGAAGTGAAGGAGGTAGAACCATGGGCCAGCTGTAGCGAGTTGCTATCTGCCCCACTTTAGCCTGAGGAGGTGTGAAGGAAGTTTTTAGAGCACCAGTTTTGATTTCTTAGTATCAATCAGTTTCAAGGCCCAGTTTTAGGAGGGCCAAAATATTATAAATATATTTAGAGGATACGGAATAAGAGGGTGGTAGAGTGAAAAGTCTTTCAAGGGCAACTTCTACATAGCTTTGCTGGATCCCTTCCAAATTCCTCTAATCAAAATTATTGGCTAACTCTTGGGACGCCCATTTATTGTCTTCTGTGTTACATACTTCCAGACTAGAAAGTAAGCTACCTCTAGGGCCACTCCTCGGAAGGAAGGTTGGGCAATCCTACTTCCGTAGTGATACTGCCTCGGAAACCCAAGGAGGGGTCGCTATGAGTCAGGTTTGACTCGACGGCACATAACAACAACAACAACAACAGGGCAAGGATTATGTCTTTTTCAACAACGTACTTAACTTGAAAGGTAAAGGAGGAGGAACTGGAACCAGGGGACTACAAGGTGGAGTAGTGGTGGCAGGAAAGGTCTAAAACTATCAAGAAGACAAAACCTGAGCTCCCATTAGACAGCCAGTGTGGCCAGGAGTCAGGACACCCAGCTCACTGTCCTAGCTCTATTACCAACGGCTTTGGAACCTCTCCCTGCCTCAGTTTCCATGTTCTGGACTAGTTGATGTCAGATGGCTTCTAGTTAAAAAATTCTGCCATATTTTCCAAAGTAAAATAGTAAAATAAATAAAGTAAAATTTCTTTAAGAATAACTGGCTCCTATAGAAAATAAAGGGGGGGGGGGTGCAGGGCAGGATACAGGCCTGGGTGTCTGGGCACAGACCAAATCAGAGGACTTAAGTGGGCCAGGCATTCAGGTAGTTTGACCCTTGACTCCAATTCTACCATCTGTGAATGAGTCTAGAGTTCCTACTTAGTCTAAATTCTAGCCTGGAACTAGTAGGGAGAGTTACAAAACCACCAGCAAAGCCCAGTGCCCTAAGGACTCACCTCTAATCTGAACCCACTTAGGCCAAGAGCTTTCCAGGGCTCAGTCCCCAAAGTGGTTTATTGTAGTAATGAAGACAATGAGTATGCTAGTCTAAGGGACAGTTTTTTAAAATAATTTTCCCTTTCATTCTGTATATGAACTTATTCAGATTTTTTAACAAAGGCAATCCAGACTGGATGTGTCATCCCTGAATCTCCAAGTCACCAGCTGCCTGCCCCGCTTCATAGAATTTTTACACTAAATATAAAGTTTACCTGCTAAAAGGATGGACGCCTAGAAAAAGAAATAAGCATGTTTTAGTGATGGCAAATTCTCACACTACATGAATACAGAGTATGACAGGCAAGAAATAGGGAGAGGATTTAAACAAACCTAACCCTTTCAGAGAATCTATTAAAACGCATTTTTTTTCAAGTACTTTACCTTGAAATTGCAATAGACACTCTGACAGCAGACCGGAACCTGGTGAAGCCTTTCGGACGGTTGGTGATAACCTCTAGGTCTGTGAAGGCTGGCTGCCCTCCCATTCGGGCAAGCAAGGCCAGGGTGGCATCTTCACATTCTTGGAATCCACCCAGTAACAGCAACAGGTATTTCTTCTGATAAATCAGAGCTTTCCGGAAACTTTCTGCCCTCAGGTATTTACCGTAAATTCTCTGTTTAAAGAAGGTCCAAACGTAAAGACATTATTAAGAATTCATTCAAATTGTTCTCTTAGAATCCAAAGACGTGGTGGGTGTGTAGGTGTGTGTGTGGGGGGCGCTAACAAGACAAGCAAAGCACCACATAAATTCAACCAGTGGGTCTCTATCACACAACAGAGGGACTGCCTTTCATTACTAGGAGAGAAAGGAAGTGAAGCAAAAAGATAGTTGATTCAGGAAGTTGCTTTTGAAAGCTTAGACATACAGTCCTGTAGACACAGACACTAGTACGATCACGGCTAGTGCCAAACTATAACTTAAAAACCCTTCCATTAATCTGAAAATTGTTTTAAAACTGCTTTTAGAGGTTTTTCTCTTTAAATGGTCCTTGATGAGGCCTGGGGGATATAATATGGGACTAAGACACTAAGAACCTTGAACCTTCAATCTGCCACTAAGCAACATGCTGAGCATTTAGCCTTTGACAGTAGAAAGACTAGATTTAGGGTTTGGGACAGCTCAGAGAAGCAGTCTAGGGCTTCTCTGCACTGGTCCAAACTCCAAACTGAGGTTGCAAACCCATGTGTGTTTGGTCACGTAAATAACATAACTGAGTGAAATGGATGAGCAGGGTATAAAACAACACAGAGTAGGTAAGGACTTGTTAACTTATCTCAAATTAAAAACACATATTGGTGAACTAGATCTGATTTATAAACTACCTACCTACCACAGACCCATGCAAACATTTAGAAGGTGGGACTACCTTGAAGATTTGAGAATAAGAGTGGACATCTCAAATCCTTTGTTCATCTCAAGTGTTTAATGAGCTTACTCAATGCCCCAGGCACTGCGCTAGGTGCCAAAGGTCTCTGTTGTCAATCTAACAGCCATACAGCATGATTTTAAAATACAGATTTGACTGTATCATGCTCTTGAAATACCCTGTTCTCTACACAAAGTAGATGACAACTACAACAGAAGCAGCCTGTCTCCAAGAAAGGCACTGCCTCTTTCTCATGAAGGCACTGGTAGCACAAAGCACAGTAAAGACCAGGGCTCTGGAGTCAGACTACCAGGGTTTAAATGCTGGCACTGCCTCTTATCAGCTGAGTGATTGCAACAAAGTTATTCATCTTTTAGTGCCTCTGTTGCCTCATTTTGAAGGTAGAATGGTTTTCTTCGGTACTGCACTGGATATAGGGGTGATGTAGAGGATGACGTGAAGGTTGCCTTCTCTGTTTCTGAAATGAGCAACTGGACAGAAGAGGATAATGGGGCGAACTATGTTTGGGAGTAAGATTAAGAGTGCCATTTTGAACATGCTAAGTTTGGGACGCAGTGGGACAGTCAAACTGGGTTAGTAAGGAGGCAGGGACATCCAAGTCTGAGGCTCAGAAGAGAGGTCCAGGCTGAAGCTAAAACATTTAGGAAGCTTTACCACATGAATGATATCAAACACTATCAAAGGATCAGCTTGCCTATTTCAAGAGTAAGGAGTGAATATAATCTAAGACAGAGCCCTGCTGAATGCCAATATGAAGAGGCTGGACAGAGAAGCGGGCCTTAATAATGACAGAATAGTTCTAATTAACTCCAAGGGGGAGGATAATTTTTTGATGAGGGGGAAAAGGAAGAGGAGGAGCAGCAGAAGAAGGGCTGAATGGCAGGTACATGATCATTGTTCTCTATTTTCTCAGCAAAGTTGAAAGTAAAGACACATTTTTAACTTCTGTTTCTGTTGTAGTCATTGGAGCCAGAGTATTAACAATGTAGTTTTGGTTATGCTTTTGTTTATTTTGAATTTTAGCCCCTATACATCAGATTTACACAAATATTTTTGTCATTCCATTATCTTCTTTTTTTCTTTTTTAAGCTGTACAGAGCTACTTTTATTATTGCGGCCACTCATCTATTTAACTTTTTCAACGTGAATGTCTTTTCTCCCGTTAAAAGTCATAAATTTAAGTTCACTCCATAAAAAATAACTCACTGCCATCAAATCGACTCCGACTCATAGCAACCTCTCCTTGGGTTTCTGAAGCGGCATGACTACAGAAGTAGATTGCTCAACCTTCCTTCCGAGGAGTGGCCAGAGGATTTGAACCACCAGCCTTCTGGTTAGCAGTCAAATGCCTTAGGCACTATGCTACCAGAGCCCCTAAGTTCACTCTATAGTTGGAATAAATGTTCTAAAGATTTTTCTTTCTTTTAGTTTTAGATTTATGTTAATTAATCAAGGTACTTTTACTACAATATTCATTACTAGTCTGTAAAGAGCTATTCAGAGGGGTTGTTACCATTTTACAGAGCTTGATGGTCTTATATATGACAGCGGTAGAGCTTGGGTTGGGAATTGAAAAGATAAAATTCTGTTGGTCTATTAGGGATGGGACAGTGGGTAATGGGACCAAGAACACAGGGTGCTGCCACTGTGATCATTAACAGAGCTTAATCTGGTCTCAGTCTTGGGCATACCTCTCCATAAACCTTTTGTGATCAGCTAGAGACCTGCACTCATGACACAGGCTGAATAAAGAGACCTAGCAACACAGCCTGAGCACCACCTAAATTTCCTTCACCTACTCAACTGAGTCAATGAGATATGAAACAAGATAAAAACAGAGGACCAGCTGTGATGGATGTTCAGATGGATGTCCCCTACCTTTAAAGTGGAATGCTCAGAGTCAGGACTCAGATTTTGAAGCAAAGCTTCATTTCTCAGTTCAGCCTTCAGTTTACAGACTTCAGCTTCTGCTCTCTTCAAGGATTTTTGGAGACTCAACTTTTCTCTGTTCCAGATTTCTTTTTCAGAAGCAATAATGGTATCGATGTTGGCACCATCACTGAATGAAAACCTAGAAGACTGCAGAGACCAGAGTCTTATCTGAATGATATTTAAGGACAATTCTTTGGGGGTGGAAAAAAAGTCTAAATTAAACATATTAAAGGTATTTCTAAGGTGGATACAGAAATCTCAGCTTTCCAACTTCAGAGAAAGTAAAAATCAGTATCAATTCACATTAAAGAGCAACTAAGTATTTGACCTTTTGTCAAGTAGGTCAGCTTTATAAGCAAATAGTCTTGCGACACAAAAGCCTGGTCTCAGTGAAGGTATTCCAATTTAGCAGAGTTTTGAACTAAAAAGGCAAGAGACTTAATAAATCGTTGGACCATCTGGGTCGTGCCTGAGAGTAGACTAGAAAAGTGGTGAAGAAGTAACTGCAGCAGGTAAAAGGGGATCACACCAGAAGCTGTGTGGGTGTACTGGAGTATACAGTGATCTTACAGGTCTGTCCTATCTTTATACTGGGTGCTTACAGAAGTTAGCAATTTATTTTACAGCTCTTTAAAAATGAAAATAAAAAAAATTCTCAGAGTAGTTTACTGAGAGTGAAATATGTAATTTAATGGCATTTTTCACTGTGATTTATGAACACTGTAACTGATGAATAACTGAAAAGTCAGAATTCATAGAAGCCCCATATCTAGAGCTTTATAATGCTTAACACTAAACATTTCTGAACACATGTCGGCTGTCTGTCCATACATAGTAAAGTCTGGCTTCAGAGACAAACTGAACTTGGTTTGACTATTGACTTTAGTTCACCTTTTCCATGTAAAAGGCTGGGTGTAGATTAGAGCCTCTGTATGTACACAACCCAGAAGCTGATACAGAGAAGGCTCCCAATAAGTTATACCTACTCATTTTATTACTGTCATCCTTACAAAAGTTCTACAGATCCTGTGAAGCATCACATACTTCACGTTTCACATATCAAGATTAAACATTAAAATGAGATAGCAGGAATTATAACTTATCCCTATTTCTAATATGTAGACATAATAAACAAAGACATACGTAATCTCTACCAGCTCCTGTCTGTCGATACCACTTGATCTGCTCTTCTAGCTTCATAACCATGTTCCTTAAATCATTCTTTTCTTCAGTCAGTTGGCTGATATGTCCTGTCAACTCAGCATTTTGTCTCAGCAGTCTTTCAGTCAATGAACCACAGGTTGTATTTGGAGAGACTAAACTAGGCTAGAAAATAAAAATAAAAACGGTGCAAGTTCATATAAGCACAAATGTAGGTGAGTGATGTATATAAAATGTGGACAGGCACTGAGAACAATAGATTTCATCAGGAGGTGATGCTTGAGTTGAGTCTTAAATAATAAGCAGGAATATACCAGGCAGAAAAGAAGATAGGGTGGGGTATATTAAACCAAAGGAACAGGATGTATATAGCACAAAAATAAGGAGCTCTGGTGGCGTAGTGTCTAAGGCATTTGACTGCTAACTAGAAGGTTGGTGGTTCAAACCCACCACCCACTCTGCAGAAGGAAGACTGGGCAATCTACTTCTGTAAAGATTTACTGCCTCAGAAACCCAAAGGGGTCACTATGAGTCAGAATCAATCAATGACAGTGAGTTTGTTTTTTTGGTGTGAGCACAAAAACGTGACTAAGAGTGTACTGCTTTTAGGGAGAACTGCAAGTTGCCTAGGAAGGCCAGAACAAAGATTGCCTTTACTCTATGGATAATAGATCTAACTGTATGCAATGCAGGGCTGCAAAGGGCTGTAGGCAGGAGCATACCACAAACAAAATTTCTGTGCTGAGATTACTCTGGCAGCCGTGTGCACTGTACAGTGAGTTAGGAAAGACAGGTCCTGGTATCAGGGAGACGCATCAAGAAGATGTGCAATAGTCCAGGTGCGAAATGCTGAAGGCAGGAAGGAAGGCAATGGCCAAGGGCTGTAGAATAACGGACAGATACTAAGTAGGCAGAAGGCACAGGAGTTAGTGACTGTCTGAGTACGTGAGAAGGGGTGAAGGAAAGTAGGCAAAGATGACTTCCAGCTTTCTAAACTGGGAGTTATCATGGTGACAATCAGGGCTATAATAGAGATGTGGGTATATACAGGGCAGGAAGGAGAAAGAGCAGATGACGCACAATTTGAACATGCCTGTGAGGCTCCTGTAGGGTCCCTGTGGGGCACAGTTCCTCAGGGAGAGATCCTTAGTAACTAAATGAAAATACAAGGCTGGCCCTCAGGAGAAAGTCTGGACTAGAACCACAGTCTACTAGAAAGTAAGCTCCAAAAGGTCATTTTTTAATTTTAAATCAGTTTTGTTCACTGTATCCCAGAACCCAGGACACTACCCTGGCACACAGTACATGTTCAATATATGTCCTTGTTCTCACTAAGCCTAGTGAGAGCTAAGGCTATAGGGATATGAGCTTTCTTAGTGAGAGGCAGAGAAAAAGATGGATGAGGACAGGAGGAAGAAGAGCACATGAAAGTGACTGAAGAAAGAAGTGAGGGTGAATGAGAGAATGCTGACACAAACAGGAAAGAGGGTTTTGAGAAGGAAGAGGTAAAAAGTGCCAAATGCTGTAGAAAAGTCAGCAAAGAAAGACTGGAAAGGTTCACCAGATTAGTCAGTTGTGAAGGCATTGATGGCATTCTGAGGGTGGTTTCCTAGAGGGGTGAGGATAAAATTGGTGAGGGAGAGTGGATGGGAGGTGAGCAGTGGCAGCAGTGGGTACAAACTACGTGTTCAAGAAGCTTGGTCTCTTAATACAGTAATACAATTAAAAAGAAAAACCTCACTGGCATTGAGTTGGATCTGACTCATAGCGACCTCTCCTTGGGTTTCTGAGGCGGTATCACTATGGAAGTAGATTGCCCAACCTTTCTTCTGAGAGTGGGTGGGTATGAACCGCCAGCCTTCTGGTTAGCAGTCAAATGTCTTAGGTGCTACACCACCAGAGCTCCAATACAATAAAAGGTCTATGCAATTATGCAATAATGATCATGGAAGTGAATTTCCCCTAAAATTTTCATTATTTTCTATTGGAGGGGAAGGAACATTGATATTAATATTTGAAATAAGAAGATAAAAGTAAAACTCTTTAGATAATATGCTACCAGGTCTAAATGATCCATATAGTTTCTGTTAAATATTTGCTTTCAATACTTTGGAAAGAGCTTAAAATATCCTACCTCTTCAACTGGCTGGTCAATTAGTTTTCGTAGTTGTAAAATAATTCCATCAATATTTCCCTGAATCCAAATGAAATCTTCATCATCTGCTGTTTCAAATGGTAGTCTTAAAGTAAAAGACACAGAGTCAAAATGTACTTTCTCACTTTGGTATGTTTACTAGCACAAAGATTACAGGTTAGGTAAAGTCTCTGATAAATCTATCACTTCCCCCTTATATTAAGGATGTTCTCACCTTGGGTCAAGGTGTTAAGATATTTGTTTTCAGGTGCATAAATTTTGTTAAAATGTCATCTCCCAATGTAAACATTCATTAACTTTAAAATGTCAATTCACCACGTGGCTACCTATTAGCAAGGGACAGTAAGGGATTCTGTCCAGTTTGCTAAGAAAGCCATTTCCAAAGTCATACAAAATAGACCAACCTGTTAGAAGTTTTCTGAGCTAGATGCTCTAGCTTTGAAGCCATACATTGAAGCTTTTCTCTGATCATTTCTAATTCATGATTATAGGCAATTCCTCCTCCATTCATTTCAATTAGCTTAGGATAGCCTGAGTCCTTTGTTTCTCCTTCTATTTTCTGCTGAAGAACCCAATTTCTAGTTCGATCACTGGTTAAACTCCATGTGGTTGGCTGGCAATTTTGGACAGAAAAGGAAAAGAAAATAAATACAAATAAGCAGCACATCACACATTTTTTCTTATAGAAATACAAATTAACTGCTATAGATTTGAAAATGACTTTGACATAGATAGTTAACAAATTTAATCCAACATCAAAATTTCATGATCAAAAGACTACAATACACTTCTTAAAAAATACAAAAAAGAAACAAAGTATATTGGTACCTCATTAAGGTTCTGATATAAAATTCTTCTACTTTCTCGTTTTTCTTCTCGTTCTAGCTCTTGCTTCTGGAATTCCTGCATAATCCCTTGTAGTCGCTTTCCTTCAAGGTCTAACTTATACACTTGTTGCCTCTTCTCTTCCAGCTGTCGCTGAAGATCTTCCACTTTGGACTGAAGCTCATGCATTTTCTTCTGTCCCTCAGTGTTAGCCTCTTGTTCCGTCTGCAAAGTCTTCCTATGAACCTGCCTATCCTTTTCCATTTGCTGTCTTGTTTGCAAAGAATCCAGTTTGTATTTCTCAGTCTCGTTTAATAATTCTACTATGCGGCTGTGTTTTTCCTCTAATTGTTTCTGTAGTTCTTTAAGTAAGTCCTCAGAGGATACTGGCCGAGGCTGCCCGTTTTCATTATTGTTCTGTAGCTGTGCATGCAATTCTCGTTCCCTATCCAAGGTGCTTCTCATTTCCTGAATTCGAACTTTCTCAGATTCAAGAAGTACTTGAAGCTCTAAGTTTCGACTCTGTTCTTCTGATAATTGGGTATCATATAGCACTCTCTGTGACTCTATTTTCTGCTGTGACTCATTTAGCAGTTGTTTCTGTTGTTCCAAAAGTAGATTCAGCTGAATATTCTTTTGTTTCTGACCCTCAAGTGAAAATTTTAGATCCTTGTAGGAGAAAACAAAATTTAGGAACCTGTTCAATATTATACCAATATTTTATAAGTATATAACCATGCTTTTATTAATATTAAATTGGTAATATTTGGTAATAGAATATAGAAATGATTATCCAGCCTAAATTTTCTGTGGTTACAAAAAAAAAAAAAACCAAACTCACTGCTGTTGAGTCGATTGTGACTCATAGCAACACCTCCTTGGGTTTCCGAAGCGAAGCGGTATCTCTATAGAAGTAGATTGCCCAATCTTTCTTCCAAGGAGTGGCTGGTGGGTTTGAACTGCCAGCCTTGGGTTAGCAGTCAAATGCTTCAGGTACTACACCATCAGAGCTCCCTGTGGTTAGAGCTTCCTTATTTGGACAAAGTATTAATTTTCATCAAGGAACATATACAAAAGATCAGTAAGTTAAATAACTTTCTCCCAAAAAATTGATCTTACACCTGGCTAAGGAACATGAAGCAGAGTGTATTTCCCCTAAGAAAATGTTTCTGAAATACTATGATAAGAATTCCTAAAAAAACCTTGTGCTTTCCAATAGCACATGCTTAAAGAAATGGGGCTTATGGGGAAAACAGAGCTAGGGAAAAACTACTTAAAACTCATGCAAATTTGTAGTAATCAAAAAATAAAAATTCCTACTTGAGGAGGTAACATTTCCCTTTCAGATAAATAGCTCTTTATGCCTGGAAGCTATCACAGTGACTTAAAAAAAAAAAAAAAGTAATAGGGCAGAAATGCTGATAATACATTATTATTATTTTTTTTTAAAGTATGCAGTCGCTGAGATGATACAGATGGTAGTGGAGCTCTGAGCCACTGGGGTCACCATTCAAGTGGGCAGGGGTCTCAGTACAACCTGCCTTGAGTCGAGAGCCGTGCAAGGCTGGGCTGTAGCTCTCTGAGACAGTGCCCAGAGTGAAGGGAATCATTTTAAATCTTCTTAACAGGTAGTAACAAGGACTCCTGCTGCCTGGACCAAAAGGTCCTGATGAGAACAGAGTGAGTAATTCTACTCCCACTATGCCAGCTCCCATGGACTAAGAGAAAAACAATTACAGAAACCAACACTACTTTTCTGCATCAAACTGACATAATTTCCTTATTTACCAAATCATGTGTACACTAATTTGCATCACCGAAACATGTGCAGTGAAAGAATAGTCTGTTGCATCCTTGGATGTAGCAAAATAAACAAACAATCATCACACTACTAGCATTTCTTTCTAATACACGTTAGATAATATTTGTAATAGCATACTACACATACTGAAAAACTGTACTTCATAAAAAAATCTAAGGTTGAAATTTTAGAAAGTGGAATGTCCCAGAATTCACTCTCTTCTTTTGTTCTGGATTTTCCAGTGCCACTTAACGACAAAGGTAACACTACCTCAAGTTCTTCTTTATCCCGTTCTTCACTGCGTCCCAATTTGGCTTTCTCTTTCTCCAAAGCCCACTGGAGCTCTCTTGATTTTTTCTGTTCACTTGCTAATGTATCATTAAGCAAATGTACTTCATCTGTTTTTTCTTTAACTTCCAACCTAAATCAAAGAGACAAATGAACTTTCAAAAAATTATTCTGACCAAGTATAGACTAAGGGGAAAAAAAATCCCACCTTACATTAAAAAGCAGCCCACTTGCCTGAGGCATACGGTGGGCTAGCTAACTGGGAAAAAATAAAACATGTAAAGGTTAAAGATTGTTGGCTGTGGTTCATTTCAAATGAGTTGTTTATCGTAGTGAAAGTATTTTTTTTTTTACAAACAATGCAAACAAAATAACATCACTAAAAATTTTCCCTTGTCTTTTACTGACCATGGGAATCATCACATGTGTTGTATGAGGAAAGCACTATTCAAACTAAACAATGACTGTACATGGAATGTGTCATTGGCAAGCAGACACACCCAGTATTTACACCAACAAATTCATCCTGTTACAAGCATTGTCTCTTCAAGCACTGCCTATTTTACCTACTTAAATCATAAATCACATTGAGATCACAAATATTACTTCAAATTACTTGGTGGTGAGATAAAGGTCAAAATTTTATTAACTTATACAATAACAAACTCAAGTACAACTGAAGGCATGGCACAGAATATGCCAACTCCTAATCATGAGTTTGGAGCTCTGGTAGCATAGTGCGTAAGGCACTTGACTGCTGACCAGAAGGCTGGCGGTTCAAACCCACCAGCCACTCCTCGGAAGGAAGACTGGGCAATCTACTTCCGTAGTAATACTGCCTCGGAAACCCAAGGAAGGGTCGCTATGAGTCGGGTTCGACTCCACGGCACATAACAACAACAACAACAATCATGAGTTTATGATTTGGAAAAAAATATTAGGGCATCATTCAGAGCAATCCCTTTTAAGCATCTTGGGTTTCTTTTTCTTCTAATACTACATTAAATATTTTTTCTCTCTCCACTGTAGTTTTTTCTATAAATAATATAGTTTCATGCTATCTGAACATCATGTATGTTTTATTTTTGTAATATATGCAATGTTTATGACAAACTCATGCAATTCCTCCACTAATACAGGTTTGTAATAAGACAGCTTAGCACACCTGAATGCTTCTAATTCCTTTAGGTGCTTATGCTGTGCCTTGAGTGTTGTTTCAAGTTCCAATTTAGTTTGTGCAAGTTCACTCTTCAGTTCAGCAACCACCATCTTCTCAGAACTCAGCTGTTCCTGCAGTTCTGTTGCTCTGTCCTTCACACTGCTGAGTTCCACTTGCATCTCCAGCATTTGAGACTGCTTCTGCTGCACATTATATTCCAGTTCTAAAAGAAACATTAGTGGTTAAATTGGATCCATCTTGTAAGTATTTTGTTAATAAGGACTGGTTTGTAATTTACAATGCAATTATTATAAAACAAATGTGAAAAGATTATACTCAAAAAAGTTGGCAATATTATATAAATACACCTTATACATAGTTTCCTGACACAGTGAAGATTTCAAAATGATAAGTATATTTATACCAAACCAAAACCAAACACACTGCCGTAGAGTCGAATCTGACTCATAGTGACCCCTCATGTTTCTGAGGCGGTATCACTATGGAAGTAGATTGCCCAACCTTCCTTTCAACGAGTGGCTGGTGAGTTTGAACTGCCAGCCTTCTGGTTAGCAGTCAAGTGCCTTAGGCACTACAACACCAGAGCTCCCATAAATATACTTATAGAAGGATGATAAAAGTTTATGGGATACAGTAATGGATACAAGGCTGAAAATGTAAAAATCTTAGAAGTTCACATAATAATATGATTGTTGTTGTTATGTGCCGTGGAGTCGGACTCGACTCATAGCGACCCCTCCTTGGGTTTCCGAGGCAGTATCACTACGGAAGTAGATTGCCCCATCTTCCTTCCGAGGAGTGGCTGGTGGGTTTGAACTACCAGCCTTCCGGTTAGCAGTCAAGTGCCTTAGCCACTATGCTACCAGAGCTCCCAATAGTATAATTAGGAATTAAAATTTGTTCATTCAGAATTTCAGAAGTTTACACTAAAACATTACAATGAATTTTGATAGCCACACAAATTTCTTGCTGGGATCACCCATGTGACTCTGACTATAATGATTAGCACCACTTGCTTAGTTTGGAAACAGTTCCCAGAAACTTTACTGTAACTCTGTCTCCAGAAGTAGAAAGTCTAAACTCCAGTTTGGATCATAGTTTTTTTCTTTAAAAACCAAATTAACTCTGGCTACATATCTGTTACAATGAAACAAAGTGAAAATTTAAATCCCTAACTATATCAAATTAAATCCCATAATTTGTGAAAAATAAGAACTTGCACATTGAAAAGGTCTGAATACAATGACCAAGGTGTTGGTGAGGCATTCAGTTCCCATAAAGCTATACAGCTTTGGACACTCTATGGAGCAGTTCTACTCTGCTCTACAGGGTCGCTGTGTTGGAATTCGCTATGTTGGAATCAACCTAATGGCAGTTTTTTTTTTGTCTAATAAACATTATTTTAGTATTGTGGGACAATGGATAATTTTTACTCTGTTCCTTTGTTCCTTTATTCTACTGTACATGGGTAATATTACTATAACAAGAAAAAAAAATGTTTACACTAAAAATAATTTTATTAGAGTAGATATCCTTTATATTAATGATGGTAGGGCACAGGAATAACATGAGCTTTAAAGATAATCAATCATGTTAATTTAGGCTTTTGAAACTACTTTTTTGGGGACATAGTCTAAGGCTTTAAATCTATGAATATGAATCTATGTGATATTTACTTAGTTTTCAGTGGGGTTTTACTTAACTTAAATAAAACAATACTAATTTATTACCCTTAAAACAATCTTTGGGAGCTCTGGTGGCGTAGTGCCTAAGGCATCTGACTGCTAACCAGAAGGCTGATGCTTCAAACCCACCAGCCACTCACCGGAAGGAAGGTTAGGCAATCTACTTCTGTAGTGATATCGTCTCAGAACCTAACCAAGGTCAGACTTGACTCGACGGCAGTGAGTTTAAAACAATCTTTCATTAAACCTACATCTAAATATAAGAGATTTAATTTATGTCTTTATACTTGCTTTTTTATAAAGTAATTTTAATCTGCTTCAGTTTTTCAAATGGCAAATGTGAGACTAAACTGTAACTTTCAAAATTTGCAAAAGCATGTGTGTTTTTGCCATTTTATTTGACAAACTTGAAGATACTGACATGTATCTTCACTAGACATGATGAAAATAATGAGATTTCAATGTAATGATTTCCATCTGTAGCTCAATTTAACCAAACATGTCCCAAAAGTAGGCAAAAGACCCAACCAAGAACATCACAAAAGCAGAAATCTAATATGCCAATCATATGAGGAAGTACTAAACAACTTCAGTAAGCTGTCATGTGCCATTGAGTTGTCTCCAACTCACAGCAACCCTATGCACAACAGAATGAAACACTGCTCAGTCTTGTGCCATTAACTTACTTCAGTAAGGAGGGAAATGTAAATTAAAACAAGAACCCACTGCGCACCCCCCAGACTGCAAAAAAAACTTACAGGACCAACAGTTGGTAGAGATGTGAAGCAACGTGAGTGCACAAGTGGACACATCCACTTTGGAAAACAGTTTGGCATTATGTAATAAATCTGAAGATATATAACCAATGACCCTGCAATTCCATTCTTAAGTATACACCCAGAAACTAGTGTACATATGCATCAGGCAACAATGAATAGTAATGCCCAAAAGAACACTGAATGTAAAACCTAAAAAGTAGAAGCAACCCAAATATTTAACCACAGAATAGGTACACAATGGATAAAAAACCCAAACCAAACCCGCTGCCATCGAGTCAATTCCAATTCACAGCAACTCCCGATGGGTTTCCAAGGTGGTAAATCTTTATGGAGTATCGACTTCGTGGTTAGCAGTCAAATGCCTTAGGCACTGTGCTATCAGAGCTCCTTATACAATGGATACACAAGGGAATTGTATACAATAACAACTGAATGAACTAACAGATAAATACAGTAACTTGGATGAATGTTATTTAAAAAAAAAAAAAATGAGGACACAATATACAGAGTGGTAAAGCTCAAAACCAGGAAAAGTTTTATTTTCTAAAAAACCAAAAAACTCACTGCCATCAAGTCAATTCTGACTCATAGTGACCCTCTTTGGGTTTTCAAGGGGGTAAATCTTTACAGAAGTAGATTGCCCAGTCTTCCTTCCACGGAGTGGCTGGTGGGTTTGAACTGCTAACCTTTGGTTAGCAGTTAAATGCTTTAGGCATTGTATGATCTAGAAATACATAATTAGGCAGTACAACTGAAAAATTTTTTTTTCAGGATAATGGCTACCACCAGATTACCAGAGAGTAGAGTGTGTTTGAGAAGGGGGCTGGGATACTGGCAATGTTCTACTTCTTGATGTGAGTGATGATTCCACAAATAGTCATTTAACAATTTGTCATACTACATATTTACACTTTGCACTCTTCTGTATTACAGTTTATAGTAAGAAAAATGTTTATAATAATTTAAAAATGGCATCATTGAGGGTTTTTTTTTTTTAGGTGGTTATCTTATAAAGAGTATAAGAGTGTTTTCTTAACACAGAGCTTCACAACAAAGATAATAAACTTAATGGGCTCAACAACCCGATTAAGGCAATGACTTGATCGTTCAAAACCACATAGACAAACCTTTAATGTAGATTATCTCCTGAATGTTGTGAGATTCAGAAGCAAATGCGACAAAGACAGAAAATGTTTTAACTAAGAAATAATAAGAGGGAATGAATTTTTACCTCTGCGTGAGCAACAGAGCCTGTCACACAACATACCTTGGCCTGGTGGCTCACTCTCTAGCTCTCCTTTCAGAGTCACTTTCCTGTCATTCATCTGCGCATGTAGGGCCTGAATTTCAGATAACAAACTCCTTCTATCTGCTTTCTGAAGGCACTCCATAGCTGCTCGATATTCAAGACCCTGTAACAAAGTAAAGTGAGAAAACCAAGTAAAGGAAATTACAAAGACAATAAAATGAACAACCAGGAAGTTTGAAGAAGAATGAATGGGACACATCCTAAAATTTTGGAATCATGTTATTATTTTTTCTTTTCATTAGGATTCATGGACAACATAAGTTCATTAGGATTTTCTTTTTAGTTAATAATATTTACATTTATTTCAAAATATTTCAAACACATAATAAAATATGAATAGCATAATGGATACCCAGGTACCTTACCTACTCTAGGAAACAGCATTTAGACAGCTAACATGCCCTGTGTGCCCCTCCCTGAATTCCTCTACATCCCCTGCCCTGGAGATAATCAAATTCTAAATTTGGTGTTAGCTATTTTCATGCACTCTTTATGTTTGTATTAGAAATAGATACGCACATATGCAAAGAAAAATACAGTATTGTTTTGCTTGTTTAAAAAATTTTAAACAGATGACACCATACTGCATTTATCCTTGTGTAATTTGTCTTTTTCACTTAACATGTTGCTGAGTCATCCAGATGGATACATGTAGCTACAGTTCATACTCATTTTCAATGCTGTATATATATAGGAGCTCTGGTGGCATAGTGCCTAAGGCATTTGACTGCTAACTAGAAGGCTGGCAGTTCAAACTCACCAGCCGCTCCTCGGAAGGAAGACTGGGCAGTCTACTTCCATAGTGATACTGCCTCGAAAACTCAAAGGGGAGGGGTCGTCACTATGAGTCTAATTGACTTGAAGGCAGTGAGTTTTTTGTTTTTTTTTAAATATATACAGTATTCCATGGTATGTATTATAAAATACATTTTATTTGAGTATCTTTCCATGTTTATTGTCATCTGTGAACATGTATTTAAATCATTTGTCTATTTTTCCTTTGATACAACATTCATGTTCAGGTTTGGGAAGGGGACATAAGTTTTTTATGAAAGATCTAAGTTTTCATTTCTGTCTAATTAAATATCTATGAGTCTAAATGCTAGGTCATATGGTAAGTGTATGTTTAACTTTTTAAGAAACTGCCAGATTATTTTCCCAAGCAGCTCTACCATTTTAGATTCCTGCCAGGAATGCAGGAGAGACGCAGTTTCTCTGTATTCTCACCAGCACTTGGTGTTGTCACTGTTTTTTATTCTGGCCTGATAGGTGTGTAATGGCTTCAGTTTTTTGTTCACCCTGCTATTTCTCCATGATTAAATGTGCTTTATGCAGTTTTAACAGAGATACCACAAAAGGATGTTCTCTGCTTCACAACACATCATATTTGGAGATACACAATGTTTATTTGGACTATTACTGGTGATGTTAAAAGGCTGTTCAGTTAGTTAAGGTGGTGTCTGCAAATTTTCTCAACTGTAAAGTTACTGCTTTTCCTGTTGCAAGTAAAAAGGATCTTGTTCAAAGACTATAGAAGAATCCTGAGCAAAAGGGGGAACATGCAGAACAGATTTTCAAATTCTCATGGGCTCCAGATTTTGTGGAACCACGGAGACTATGCTTAGTTATATAGGAAAACCTGTGAAAGCCAGAACCTGTGTAAGGGAAACCTGTTAGAGACAGAAAACTATTTTCCATTTAAATGAACAACAGAAACGTGGTAACACTGCACCCTGTCAATGTGAGACCCAGAAAAACAAGACAGTCCCACTGAGTGCCAGCTCTCACAGATGTCACTGTAATAGCACTTTTTTTCATAATTCTTTGGGAAAAAAAAGTGTTTTCTCTTAAATAATTTCCCCAGAAATGTTTCTGTATTTTTAGCTTTTCCCAAGAACCAACTAATAACTTTTTATACTGTCTACTGTAACAGTGTATATATTTCATTAATTTCTTTTTCTTCATTATTGTATTCCTTCTACTTTCTTTAGGTTCATTCTGTTTTTCTTTCTCCAACTTCCTAAGTTGGACAAGTAATTTTGTCTTTCTTACTTTCTAACAGAAGACAGAAACATTTAAGGTCATAATTTTTCTCCTAAATACTCTTAGTGGTTCCTATTAAAACTTCATATTTCAAACTGAACTTACAACGCTCAAATTAATAAATAATTTATCTTCTTATTACTATTAAAAAGTGTTGCATTTGAATACCTGCTCTTGTAATCGCTGTTCCAAACAGTTTAATAATCCAAGTGCATCTCTAGTACCGAGAACCGTCAGCTCAGTCTGAAACGCAGCTAGTAAGACACTGCGCTCCTGTAAGAAAACCTGCTGAAGGGCGATCAGAAGTTCACCGCGCCAGTCTGAGAAGCTCTCATGGGACTGAGAACTATTATAATCCTAACAAAGCATAAAAAACAAAAGTTAATTTCCAAATCAGCATGTTTTGCAAATGTTCTAAAAATGATATTTATCTACTCAACCAACATTAAGTATCAAAATACTAAGAACTCAGGAATTCATCTTCCAGTATGTATATGACTTAGAGCAGTTAAACAATAACTAGTAATTCATGTGAAAATATGTCATAAGAGGTAACAATTCAATTTGAAAAGAGCGTTAAAAACAGTATAATATATACAATAACATAAAAACCAAAGCCCACCGCCACTGAGTCAATCTCAACCCCTACTGATCGTATAGGATAGAGCAGAACTGCCCCACAGGGCTTCCAAGATTGTAAATCTTTACCAAAGCAACAGCCTGATCTTTCTCCCATAGAGCAGCTGTTGGGTTTGAACTGCCGACCTTTTGGTTAGCAGCCCAATGTCTTAACCACTGTGCCATTAGAGTTCCACAGTAATATAACATGACTTAAATAAAAACAATATGAATATTTAGATCCGTAACAGTCTTTGGGTACCTTGGCTTCTCCTTGCACCTGCATTTTGGTAATTAAATCCTTAAGAGATGAAATTGTACTGAGGTAAGCTCTTCTCTCTTCTAGCCAAGATTCTGAAACTTGCTGAACAGAATGGTCCTCTCCATCACTGTACGGAGATTCGGTGAGAGAGAGTACCTGCATACCCTCACTATGAACAGCTCTCAGTAATCCCTAGAAACCAAAACCCAAAAGTCAGAATTAAGACACGTTCTTTGGGGACTGCAAGATTTAACACACTAGAGAAATGAATATTAAGGCAGATATCTTGATCTAGTTCAATTGATTTATTAGTAAAGCTACTGCAGAAAGTAAATTCCAAATCCCCATTACTGATGTCTTCTTCCTATAGAGGGGGAAAGCCAACCCAGTAGATTATGACTTTGTATAGTTATCTCTAAGTTCCTTCTATTTATCTAATGTGTTCTTCTGTACTTATCTAACCAAAAGAAGTATATGGGTGAAAATTTAAGAGTACTTGTGATTATTTTAATAATTTTGCAAACAAATATCAGGAAAAAAAATAATTAAAAAAAATTCATACAAATAATATTGAAACACATTTTATTGTAAGGAAATGGAATCGATACCCAAGGTTTCTTCTAGCTAAAAAATTCTTTTTCCAGAGAAGATCTTACATATAACCTCTAAACGGCTATGTACAATGTAGAAATGATACTGGCTACATTTACTAAGAAATATCGGTTGTTTAGTACCTTTATTTTCTTTGGAAATGAATCTGTTGAACTTTCACCTTCTTCTCCTTGACCTTCTGCCCCTGGGTCAAATCCTTGACTCTGTGTAAGATAAATCCCCTGACCCCAGTCTGATCCAGAATCTGAAATAAAGAAAGCAAAATTTACCATACAAAAGACTTTTTTAAACAAATTATAAAAATTCCAGAAATGTATAAAACTTACCACTGGAACATATTTCTCTATTTTGGTAAGAATCAGAATGTGTTGATTCAGGAATTGAGGATCCCTAAAGAAAATGAAACAACAAACACATATTTTTTGCCTTAATAAAAATATGGTTCAATTAATAGTTTTGGCCTTTCTAATACTGTTAGGGGAAAAAAAAAAAGCATTTAAATCTGCTGTATCTTTCACAATTAATGAAACTATAGGGTGGTTTTCAACGAGTCTTTAATTTTTCCTTACAGATATTGTAAGAGACATGCATAAATTAGAGAAGGACAACATCAGGTTCCAAATCTACACAGGAACTTTCTGGAAAGTTACTATCTAAAGCTATAAAATGGATTAGGCTTACAATTGTAATTATAGCATAAGGAAGAGACTGCCCCCAAACTTCTTTTTCCCTTAAAAACAAAGACTGATTTAATAAATCAGATTTAAAAATACTAATTCTGAAAACCAAATACCTCTTTAGCTCTCAGACACTGTATCACTGCCTTCAAGGTATTGCATTCCTCTGTCAGTAACTGAACAGCAACATAATGTTCCCTTTTTAAGGTTTCAGTTTCTGAAATATGTCTGGACTCCATATCCAAAATTTCAGCAGCATGTAGCTCTTGCATCTGCTCAATTTTTTCAGTAAACTGACTGATTATTTCAGCGACTTCTTCTGACAAACATTCATTCTGTAAATCAATTTGGATTCCTGCATTTCTAACAAGAATTTGTGGAGTCTGATCGCTGCTATTGATCTTGAGTGTCTCATCTGTCTGGGACGCAGAGCTTTTACCCACTTTCATAGAAAGTGGCTTTAAGTTGTAGACCTTTCTGTTTTCTTGTTCCTCTGTCTGATCTTCTTTTTCTAAGAAGCAGGATAATTTCTCTCTTGCCTCTGCAAGTTGATCCCTAACTTGATTTAAGTCTTTCTGAAGAAACGCCACATTTGTTTCTTTTACCTAAAACATAATGAATAGAACAGTAGAGCCTTCAGTTAAATTTTTTCCATATCAAATGTAGAACTGAGGGGAAGGAGTACAGTCATACTAGTATGTTAATTTCCCTCAGAAGAATAGGAAAAACATTTCTAAAACACTCGTGGTTTCACACACACACACACATATAATTCACATGTATGTATGGTGATGTATTAGGATCATATATTAGTTACAAAAGTGAAGTTTTATCAACCTCTCCTTTTGGTTCTCATGAGATATATGGTCCTCTTCAGTAACTGCCTTTCTCCTCCTTCATTAACACATGAAAGAGTAAAAGCATTCTAACACAGCCCTCCAAGAATACCAAGCAAGGAGACACAGTAAAGAAATTTATAATCATGGAACTTTCTATCAAAGCCACAAAAGACAATCTTTTCTAACTTTGCAAGTTATGGATCTGGGTTTTGTTTTTATAGAAGAAAAATACTTTGACATGAAATTAAGATAGGGAGAAATACGTGAATTAGGAACTATGGTACTTATATTACCAAAAGCTCTTCCTGAAGTTTTTCTGCCTTTTCTTTATAACTGGCAAGCTCTTCTTTGGTAGCTGCTGACTCAGCTCGAAGAGTCTCAAGTTCACCAAAAAATATACTTTCTTCATTGGTGTGAAATAGCTCAGAAGTTGTCTGAGTGCCAGTGGAAAACACAAGAAACACATCCTTTTTAAAAAAATTATATTTATAATTTATAAAATGTATTTATAAATTACATTTATAAGACATTATCCAATGAAGCTTTTCAGGAACACCTGCCCACAGGTAAAAGGGGCTAAAATACTTAATGCTCTCTTAAAGGGAAACACTTTTTCAGAGCCATCATTTTAGATTCTTAAAACAGTAAGAATGGTTTTCATGGAATGAAAGGCAAATAGTATCAACAGTAGATATCTCAAAACTTTATAAATTATTAAAGAAAATATTCTTTGTTAAAATTTCAAACTTTCACATTTATATTATTTTCTCAATAGGCATCAGGTGTTAACTATTTTGATATTTTTCTTTACTTATAAGGGATGATCACACACCATGTGTAACTAGAGGAAGTAAGGGAGGAAAACCCACATTCAGTTTTAGAAGACATTTGCTGAATGAATGTTTCAAAGCTTCTTCTGATAGCCCTATTTAATGACCATGTTAATGAATTAAACAGACTGGCTCAAAGACCACAAAACAGTTTAAATCCATCATTCTAGTGGTAATATGACTGTACAGCATAATAATTTTATAAAAATGGTTTAAGTGTAACTTGGTAGATGTAAAGAACATATTTAATTTTGTAATATTAGCAATCACCTTAAGGAAAAGAGTCTATTAGGGTACTTAAGAGAAAAATCGAATACAAACCAACCTCAAGGATTTCAAAACTTCCTTGAGGGCTTCTTTCCCTTGGCTCTCCTCCTGGTTTTTTTTCACTGTCCATCAACAGCTTCTGTAGTTCTAGCAGCTTCTTTTCTTTCTCCAAAGCAGTTTTCTCTGCAATCTGTACTTGTTTTTTTCCCAAAGTCAAACTAGCCTGCATTTCAACCACCTGACTTTCCAATTCTGTTATTCTCAAGGTTAATGCAGATACATTTGACTCCATCTCTTTTTCTGCTAGTTCATTTAAATTCTTTATGGTAGTCCTTTCAGGTTTTGATGAAACTGCTGGTCTATCTTGACAGAACTTAGCATATTCCTGAACTGCTTTAAGTTGGACTTGACTCACAAGAGCAGCAGCAACTTTTTCTTCAAGTATTTTCTGTAGGTTTACAATTTTCTCTTCAAGCATTTCCATTTCAGACTGCCCTTGCTCTTGCATGTCTTGTATTTGTTTATAACACTGGGTAAGTTCTAAGTCCTTTGCACTAAGGGTGCTTTCAAGTTGTACCAACTTTGTTTCCAAACTGCTTATGGACACTTCCTTGTTTTCTTCAAAAGATTTGAGATAAGTCTTATTTTCTATGGATGTAAGAGTATTCTTAGCCAGGACACTGTCCAGTTCAGTTTTGTCTTTGCTTGGATCATCTACAATCGTGTTAATATTTTCCTCTGGTACACTTTCGATTTTTCTCATGTTTTCACGTTCACTCTTTAAGCTACATAATTCTTCTGCCAGTTGATTCATCTTAAAATTGGTTTCTTCAAGTACATTTTTTATGAAGGTCATTTCTTCATTAGTGGTTTCTACTTGCTTTTCCAAAGCCAGCTTTTCAGATGTTACCACATCCAACTGATGTTTTAAACTATCTGCATCTTCTGGGAAGGAATTAGCATCTACTAATATCTTCTGTTCAATATTTGCCAATTCTAGTTGAAGTTTTTCAATCACTTCATTGAGCTGTTCTATTTCTTCATCCCTATTTTTCTTCACTTGTTCTTGATCACTTAACAAGCATTCTATTTGGGTTTCAAGATTCCTTATCAGTTCATTTTTTTCTTCAACAACCTATTAGTTAATGAGAAAAAGGTAACATAATAAATAAACCAAACTCACTGGTATCAAGTTGACTCTGATTCATAACAACGTTCATTGGGTTTCCAAGGCTACAAATCTTTATGGAAGCAGACTGCCCCATCTTTCTTCCATGGAGCGCCTGGGGGGTTTGAACCAACAATCTATTGGTTAGCACTCAAATGCCTTAACCACTATACAACCAGAGTGCCTTACATAATATATAGGCATTTGGGTTTTGAGAATTTCATTTCCTTTTAGGGCAAAACCTCAATGAGATAATCACACAATAAAATAGTATACTTCTTAGACATACTATGTTACTGCAATTTCAATATAGACCGACAGACACTTCCTCCACTATAACAAGGACCTCCTTTACAATTCTGTGTAGAAAATTCTACTGAATGTAAAGTGATTTACACTTTTAGTAGCTATTTCCTACAAGATGAATAGAAAATCCCCAAATCCCAAAATTTGTGAGTTGATTCCGACTCATAGTGACCCTGTAAGTCATCATCAATATATTTTAACTGAAAAGGATACCACAGTGAAGTAAGTCTACAGTAGATGGAACTCAAAGGTAATTATCTTATTCAACTCATAATTAAATAGAAGACCTCTTAATAGATTAGGTTAGAATGATCTGAGTCATCAGAGACTCCCTAGAAAACATTAAAACCCTTTGATGACATCAGGAGGGGACAAAAATACACATAGCTTGTTAAAGCAATACATTTGAATAAGCTAAAATTATTGGGTAAGAGAAAATGAAGACATGTTTTTAAATTCAGTAGGAAACTGAAAGTTATAAATATTTTGCCTTTTAAAATTCTAGTTTGAATTAATCTCAGGTAATAACCAATTTTAAATGAGCATACCCTGTTATCTGTTGTACTTTTAAGTTGCTGCTGAAGTTTTGTAATTTGCTCATTTAATTGATCAATTTCTCTCTCTTTTTCCTGTATTATTGGAGCAAATTTCCCAAACAGAAGATCTTGGTCCTGAGTAGAGAGAGCATCAGATCCCATTATGGCAAATCCCCATTTTTCCATTTCATCCTAGGGACAAAAATAACCATCTCAATTGGATGTATTATTTATTATGTCATGTTCAGATCATTCTTTTATTAACTCTTACAAAATATATAGTCTCTTCAAAGTACAAATGAAAATATTAAAGCTATCATATACTTATTCAATAATTCTTAAAATACTTTGATATAAACTCTCAAAAAATAATCATTTATGATGAATTTAAATGTTTAGATTGGGCTTAAAATAAGTTCCACGTAAATCCACTTGCCTGCTAATATATCTCTGTTAAGTATTATTTAGAAGCAAGGTTTGCAAATGCTCAATAATGCTAAACAGGACCAAAACTACGAATTATTAACAGACAAAAGTTGTTCATATCTATTACCTTAAATAATTTGTTTTCTTGTTCAAGTTCTTGTAAGCGGGTAGTAGATTCCTTTTTCTGTATTTCTAATTGCATATGTAGTTGCTGAACTTCTTCATTCTTATTTTCCAGTTCTTCTCTAAACTGCTCTAATTGTTCTTCCAAGTTAGTAATCTTAAAACCAAAATTAGCAAGAAGAAAAAAAAAAGTTTATACAAATACCTATTTCTCATGAATGCTATGTTAGCTCTCTAAAGTATGTATGCTTAAAATATGAGTCACAAAAAAAAGGAAAGGGTTTTCCTAAGTTAGATAGGCACCTGTGTGGTTTTTAGACATGTTCAAGTTAGAGAAGAACTTCTGAGGAAGGGCACAGGAACCATTTCCTACCTTTTATGTCCTCTTAAGGAGGCAGAAAAAAAAGTCATGGGAGGAAGGGAAAAAGTCCACATTTTACTCCTTAGTTTATGTTAAGTTCAGTTGCAATCAAAAGGCTAAAACAAAATAAAAATCTATAGAAGCCAGTCTATTGTTTCAGTGACCAAGTGAGATTAGCCCATTTAAAAACACAAGTATCTTATTAGCCCTTATGGTAAAGGAGGCAGAGGTTGACAGTAAGACTGAGAAATCTTTAGGTATGAATTAAAGAAACCACTTAGAATAAGTTTTTAATACAATTTGAGGAGAAAATTGGAGAGCTCCTGTAGTTAAAAAAGATATATGTCTCACTGCTGAGAGTAGATTATCATTATATGTAAAGTAATCGCTATGACTGATGCTATTACAGAGAATGAAATTAATGATGAATACCAAGAGCTAGTTACCATGATATTAAAAGAAGTGTATTTGACTGAGGATATGTACAGTCTTAATCATTCTCAGAACATTTAGCTCACTGCTTTGTAGTTACTTAATAAATATTTAATGAATGGATTTTTAAAGGTGTATTTGCCTGATGATCTACACTGATGCATTAAAAGCAATCTAACTACTGAACATTCTGATCAGGAATACAGTAGGTAAATTCTGATAAAAAGGGAGTAAAATTAACTTCAAATTCTTAAAGAATCCAGACTTACTGGACCTGTTGATGCTGAAGGAGTCCTTGAAACTATGGCATTGAATTGCTTTTCAAACCCTGAATTGAAACTCCCCTTAAGTCACCTTTAAACAAAGCAAGTTTAGCCCAATGAGTAAAGATATTCACTCTTGAGTACTGTGTGTTTTTAAAAATTATCTCTATAAAACCAAAGGATCAACAGTTATTTTAAAGCACAGATGAGAAGGTTGGGGACAGGGAGATTAAGTGAATGGAATGCAAGAACTAGAACAGAACTAATGGGATTGTTAACACTGTGAAGAATGTAACCAATGATCATTATGTCTAGAAAATGGGAGTTGGAGCGGTTTTGTTGTGTATCTTTTCACTGAAATTAAGAAAAAGAAAAAAGGGAACCTAAAATGCCAGAGCAGCATTTAGTGACTGCTGGCTCACAGAACAGCCCATGAATCATTTATTGTCTTAGAAACTGAAAGGGGACATATGCTGACGACATGCTGACAAGTAATCAGAATCACACTGGCAAAGCAAAGACCTTCAGAACTCACTCAGCCTAAGACTGTCTAAACAAAAATAATATCGATACTAGTAATAACAGCCATCAATTATACACAATTTACTGCTAGGCAATGTACTAAGTGCTTTATGCGTAACAACTTTTTTTAAAAACCTTGCAAAAACCATAGGAGGTCTGTACTATATTTACTCCCATTTTAGAGATGAAGAAAGGCATCACTGAGAGATGACTTAACTTGGCCTAAGGTCACAGGGCTAGTATGCACTGAAACCAGTTTCTGAAGCTAAGGAGTTTTATCTCTGGAGTCTTACAACGTTAACTATCATTTATCCTGTGTTTAATAAGTAATGTCCAAGACTTATATTTAAAAATTTTTCCGTAACACTGGTAATCAGATTCAGTGGACACATTTTAAATACATTTAGTGCTTGTGCATATGTAATTTATCAGGTTAGTTTGTTGACAGCTGTGATGATTATATCTTTTTCAAAGTTGATGATTGTATCTTTCTAAAATTATATAGTAGTATTTACAACTATGGCTATCTTCTACAATTACTTCTGATGATAAGTTTTTACTGTAACATCAACACACATGTAGTCATTTGAGTTCAAAATTGCTGCCTATCTCATTGGTTATTTGCTTGCCTTACTGACACAACAGCTTACTGTTATCAAATCTTAGCTCTGTGATCTAAAGTATGGTTTTTGGAGCAGAACTGGTATCATCTGTCATCTGCAAGCATACAGACATGCAGACTCTCAAGCCTCAGCCCAGACCTACTGAATCAGAAACTGCACTTTAACAAGATCCCCAGGTGACACACATGCACACCAAAATTTGAGAAGTACTGATCTGTAGCAGTAACATTCCTATTATGAGGAGCTGCACTTGAAGAATCACATTAAGGATTTTGATCCCCAAAAATGCCATTATAGGGCATTCTTTTCCTTAGTCAGCGAGACTCCAGTATCAATCCCAAGCGTTTTATTATTGTGTCTATAGCAATCAAATACCAGAAGATCAGTAAATTAAAGCTTAAAGATAGAGACTGATAGCCATGTGTTTTAATCTTGTTTTGTTTATTCACCAATTGATGCCTATACTGTTTGTATTACATTAATCTGCACCTCTTTGCATTTTTCTTTTTTAAATGTTTCTGTCTCTTTCATATGTGTATATATCTCAATTAGACAGTAGATTCCTTGAAGTTAGGTGCTGTTTTCATAACGGGACAGTGTTGCACTATACAAAGTAAGAGCTCAGTTGAATGTTATGTTTTAATACTACTCAGCAACAAGGAAAATACATCCAGACACCTAGTTTTTGCAGTACAAACTAAACTCACTGCCGTTGAGTAGAACTCAACTCACAGCAAAACCCCTCCTTGGATTTCTGAGGCAGTATCACTATGGAAGTTAGATTGCCCAATCTTCCTTCTGAGGAGTGCCTGGTGGGTGTGAACTGCCAGCCTTCTGGTTAGCAGTCAAATACTTTAGGCACTATGCTATCAGAGCACTATCTCAATTCAGACAACTTTGGATGGAATTCTTACTCAACTACTTACTGCTTGACCATGAGCATGTTACTTAACCCCTCTCAAGACAATGAGAAATAACGCTGGAGATTGCATGGTAGAATTATGCAAGACCAATGACTTATTCATTGCAAATACCCTTCTTGGACAACACAAATGGCAGCTACACACATGGACTTTGCCACATGGAGTACACAGGAATCAGATTGACTACATCTGTGGAAAGAGGCAATGGAAAAGCTCAATATCATCAGCCAAAACAAAGCCAGGAGCTGACTGTGGAACAGATCATCAACTGCTCATGTGCAAGTTCAAGTTGAAGATGAAGACAATTAAAAGAAGTCCACAAGAGCCAAAATATGACCTTGATTATTTCCCACTTGAATTTAGAGACTATCTAAAAAATAGATTTGATGCATTGAACAACAATGACTGAACCAGAGGAACTGTGGAATGACATCAAGAACATCACCCATGAAGAAACCAAAAAGTCACTAAAAAGACAGAAAAGAAAGAAAAGACCAAAATGGATGTCAGAAGAGACTCTGAAACTTGCCCCTAAATGAAGAGTGGCTAAAGAAAATGGAAGAAATGACAAGATAAAAGAGCTGAACAGAAGATTTCAAAGAGCAGCTCAAGAAGACAAAGCCAATTACTATAATGAAATGTGCAAAGACCTGGAGCTAGAAAACCAAAAGGGAAGAACATGCTCAGCATTTCTCAAGCTGAAACAACTGAAGAAAACATTTAAGCCTCGAGTTGCAATACTGAAAGATTCTATGGGCAAATATTGGATGGAGGAAACATCAAAAGAAAATGGAAGGACTACACAGAGTCATTATATTAAAAAGAACTGGTCGATCTTCATCCATTTCAGGAGGTGGCATATGATCAAGAACCAATGGTACTGAAGGAAGAAGTCAAAGCTGCACTGAAGAAGTGGCAAAAAACAAGGCTCCAGGAATTGATGGAATACCCACTGGGATGTTTCAACAAACGGATGCCATGCTGGAGGCACTCACTCAGCTATGCCAAGCAGTCTGCAAAACAGCTACCTGGCCAAGTGACTAGAAGAGATCCATATCTGTACCCATTCCAAAGAAAAGTGATCCCACAGAATGTGGAAATTATCGAACAATATCATTAATATCACATGCAAGTAAAATCTTACTAAAGATAATTAAAAAATGGTTGCAGCAGTATAATGACAGACAACTTTCAGAAATGCAAGCTGGATTCAGAAGAGGATGTGGAATGAGGGATATCATTGCTGATAGCAGATGGATCTTGGCTGAAAGCAATGAATACCAGAAAGATGTTTACTTGTGTTTTATTGACTATGCAAAAGCATTCGATTGTGTAGATCATAACAAATTATGGGTAACAATGAGAAGAACAGGAATTCCAAGAACACTTAATTGTACTCATGAGGAACCTGTACATAGACCAGGAGGCAGTCATTCAAACAGAACAAGGGGACACTGTATGGTTTTAAGTCAAGAAGGGAGTGTGTCAGGGTTGTAAACTTTCACCACACTTATTCAATCTGTATGCTAAGCAAATAGTCCGAGAAGCAGGACTACTTGAAGAAGAACATGGCATCAGGATTGGAGGAAGACTCATTAACAACCTGTGATATGCTGACAACAAAACTTTGCTTGGTCAAAGTGAGGATGAGTTGGAGCACTTACTGATGAAGACTGAAGACTGAAGCCTGCAGTATTGATTACACCTAAATAGAAAGAAAATAAAAATCCTCACAAGTGGACCAATAAGCAGCATCATGATAAATGGAGAAAAGACTGAAGCTGAAATTGTCAAAGACTTCATATTACTTAGTTCTACAATCAACACCAATGGAAGAAGCAGTCAAGATATCAGATTTTGTATAGCATTGGGCAACTCTGCTGCAAAAGACCTCTTTCAAATGAGGAAGAGCAAACATGTCTCCTTTAAGACTAAGGTATGCCTAACCCAAGCCACGGTATTTTCAATTGCCTCAGATGCATGTGAAAGCTGGACAATGAATAAGGAAGACAGAAGAAGAGTTGATGCTTTTGAGTTGTGGTGTTGGTAAAGAATGCTGAAAGCATCTTGGACTACTAAAAGAACTAACAAATCTGTCCTGGAAGAAGTGCAGCTGGAAGTCCTCGGAAGCAGGAACAGCCACATTTCGTCTCACCTACTTTGGTCACGTTGTAAGAAGAGAATATTCCCTGGAAAAGGATATCATGCTTGATAAACTGGAGGGTCAACGAAAAAGGGCAAGCCCCTCAACAAGATGGATTGATAGAGTGGCTACAATGATGGGCTCGGGTAAAGCAAGGATCGTGGTGCTGGCACAAGACTGGGCAGTGTGTTACTCTGCTGTGCATAGGGTCACTATGAGTCGGAGACACTTTAACAGCACCTAACAACAACAACAAGAAGACAAAGTTTATTTATCTGCAAAATGGAGATAAAGCCTCTCCCCAGGGAGGGTATAAGGATTAAATGAGATAGGCATTAGAATACTTTTAGTACTTTCTACTACATAGTCCTCAATAAAGTAAACTATTATGATTTATTATTTCTATTAACAACCTGAGATATGCAGACGATACAACTTTGCTTGCTGAAAGTGAAGATGACTTAAGGCACCTACTGATGAAGGTTGAAGAATACAGTCTGCAGTATGGATTACATCTCAACATAAAGAAAACAAAAATCCTCACAACTGGACC